ATTGTTCTCCTCTCTTATAATAATATTTGACCAAAAAAATATTATATGATTTAGGGCTATAATTTTTTTGATTAATTTATTTATATTATTAAATATGAAGATATTAAATTAAAATAATTTTACACGCAGTATATTTTCACTAAACCAAAAATATAATATTAAAAAATTATTTTTAAATATTGTTGTTGCAACCAATGATAAATATTGAATTTATCTGTGCAAGCCTGGCATCTGCAAAAGATAGGTGTTTTGCAGTATTTATGTTTTTAATTTCTATGAAATATATTTGGGAAATAAATGATTGGTAGTCACAAATGTCATTGTAGTGTTTTTTTAACCTCCCAGGTTCTACCAAATAAAACACAAAAATAATGAATACAAAACAACACACTAATATTTGTCACCTTATAGCATAATTGACGATTGGTTTAAGGGTAATTTTACAATACCCAAAAAAAAAATTAGTACTATATTAAAAAATACGATTTTTTGAAGTCAAGTTACACCTTTTAAAGATAAAATTATAATTGTTTTGAGGTAACTTTATGATTGATCATCAATACTCCTAACTATGAAAAAGATATATCTTTAGAAGTTACACTTTGAACGGCTGATGTGATGTCAGCAAATATGACAATCAACGATCGATTTAGCTGTCGTGACTTGAAATACTAACAATTGTATGCATTACTCAATCGTAAAGTAAACATTATTATAATAGTTATGATGTTAGAATCACGTGTTCTTCATGTGTTATATATTGTCTAACTATGAAAATGATATATTTTTAGGCGTTACATTTTGAATGGCTGTTGTGATAAGAGCAAATATGACGATCGGTGATCAGTTTAGTTGTCGTGACTTAAATTCTAACAATTACATAAGTTATTCAATCATAAAGAAAACATTATTATAATACTTACGGCATTAGAATCACGTGTTTTTCATGCGTTCGTTATACTTTAACCAACTACAAAAAATGATATATTTGTAGGTGTTACATTTTTAATTATTTAATTATCATAAATAATTTTGATCAATTATATTCTAACACATCTCTCATATAACTACCCATCTATACCACTACTTTACCATTACTCAATTTAAGTCTTTTAAAAAATCAGTTACTAATTTAAAATTTTTTAAAAACATAGTTTTACCTCCCTAATTTTTCATAATTATTTTGTCATACTAACTTTTCATTATTTTCTCTCTTTTCTAATGGTATGATGACAATAGGAAAAAAAAAAAAAAAGGGTAAGGATGACGGACCAGAAAAGGGATACGTGCGAATTCCGTGCATTGCACTATAAATCCTTCCTATCCAAGTGATTTCATCAATTTAGTTTAGAGAAATTAAATTGTACAGTTGATAGATGGCATAATAGTCAATTGCTTCATCACGGTGAGGGCCAAAGTTTAGGCCCGACCCTAATCAACTACCGGTGAGAGTGAAAGTTACAACTGATTGTGGAAATAAACTAAGATTTCTACAAAGAATATACTAGCATGATATTCAATGAGAAGAAGTGATTGCTTGTGTTTTTTGACTATATTCTTGAATTAAAATTTACCCTTTATTGGACCCTCAGGGACCAATAAACCATAGCTTCATCTGAGAATCAATGCCATAATGAATCTGAGAAGCAGCCAAAACATATTAAAATCTAGGACCAACTAGCTAGCATTAATGCAATCCTACAAACATGACACGGTTCAAGAGTCATCAAACCACTTCAAGAACAAGGACTGGTAAAAAAAAAAAAAGAACACTTTTTGGGGGAAATAAAGACTTGGAATAAAGGTGGTTGTGGCTTTATTCCCAACCCAACGTTTTCGCTGACTTGGGTTGATTCTATTGCAATCAAGACCAATTCAATATTTATGTGCCAATCGAAAGAAAACCATTCTGATGAAGGAGAAAATATTGAATGTAACGGGATACAAAACGATTCTCGTATGACACATGGACACAAACAGTAAAACACCGAGAGAATTGACAGGCCACGAGGACAAAACCTGGAGGGACATGCCCCAGCACGTGAAGGAAAATAGGTGCATCCCGGGGTTGAGCATTTAACGTCAAACAAAGATGTGGATCCATCTTGACGCAACAAGTCACAGAGAAATGATTGATTCTGTAGACAAGTTACATTAGAATATATCTCGAATCTTAAGAAACTCGGATAAAAGCGCCCTTATTGACGTGGATTTCTTGAGGGCACGCAAACTAAATGTTTAGTGTCAATACAATGAGTGCTCGGTATAACTCAATAAATGCACTGGAAAAGTCATTAAATACTGAAGAGACGTGCATTGACACATTTTCTACCGTGGTACGGTTATCTCAAACTATTACAGAAATTCACTAATGCAGATTGTAACAGTAGTACCATGTCACCATTGCTACATTCATAAAAAAATAGTAAATTTGGATTCTGTAATTGTAATGCCGATGCTATGAAATAAAGACTAGTCCCAGTAAGTGAGGCATATCATAAATATGAATATTTCATGGGTTCTATGTGTAAATACAGTAGGATTAAATTCCAGTGAAAATGTTGACTTGGTTGAAATCCAAGCTATTCCTATGGGACAAGTGATGACCACCCTTGATTTAAAGTGGTAATTATCAGCAGCCATGGCCAAAATTCTCTCTTGATTCAAACCCCAGAAATGGTCAAAGGAAGATGTATCTCTATCACGAAGATAGTAACATTCTGGGTGGATCAGGACAGAAAAATTATAGTATATGATCACTATTACAATGAAGTCCGAATGAATCCCTCAAAAGAATAGTAAAATATAAGTCCTAAGAAAAAATAAAGAGAAATAGAATTTAATCCGAAATAGATAATCTTACAAATACCTGACAGATTAGAATCATATTAGAGACCTTTAAGGAGAAAGGATAAGGTTACGGTATTGTACCCAAATTGATCAAGAATCGTTGATTTTGATTTAAATGGTTTACAACAGTTAATTAAAAAAATAACAAAATAATAAATTTTAGACGTGATACATTTTTATTGAATATAAAGTGAAGATGTGATATAAAAAAAATATATTTCGAAACCGTAATAGGACCCAACGAGAATAACTGTCCTCCTGCTTCATATACATTCACAGAGAATAAGCCAAACTGCATGAAAGATCCCCGTGTAAGAACTCGATCATTCCACTGTTTACCTAAGGAGGACAAAAACGAAAAGTTTTGCAAAAAGTGGGAAGTATCATAAATCTATCGTAAAGTTTTGTATTTATAACAGACGACAAGATATTCACAAAGAAATAAAGAAAAGTCCAAAAGACGACATAATAAAATTCTCAAAGAGAGGGACAAGTGGAATCAAACTTTGCATGTGGATGCCGCGGGGGTTCGAACGGGATAAAATGCTGGGTGTCACAGTTATGCCATGTCGATAATGTAGTGTAATTGTTCAATAATAAAATAGCAAGTAGGTAAGTAGATCCCACATAAATAAATAATTATTCATCTATGTATGTCGTGTAATAATTATTCATGTGGGATCTGTCTTATTATTGGATGGTGGGGCCTAGAGCTGCACCAAGGCAAGTTTACCATTAGATTGGGCCACAAATAAGAAGACTGGACCCAAAGTTGGACTTTTCACACAGCTTTGGACAAGTCCATCCAATGAATGAGGTGGGCCTGATACATTATCCTCACCCTCAGTCACAAAACGTTAACGACATACAGTTTTTGAAATGCTGGATTATGAAGACTTTATTCCCTTGAATGTGTTATTGTTATGAAGTAATGGGTAGAACTTCCCCTAAAATCGTCTTGTAAGGGAAATGTGTATTTAGTTTTATATTTTTTTAATATGAGATTACAAAATTTCACCACATTTTAGCTCTACTCAAGTATCAATATTCAATGAGATAATAATAGGCTCATACACACAATCTGTCTATTTTCTCAAAACAACTCTTCCTAGGTCGCCTCTTTTGAAGAGAGTCGCATCTCATGCTCGGTTCGATTCCATAGTTGATATGATAGTTAACTCTGATATAAATTATATAAACTTATAGATGTAACTTTTTCTTGAAAATTAACTTAGAAAAAAAATGTATTTAAGAATTTATATATATACATTTAATTTTATATTGAACTGATGTGACACCGTAACATAATGTCAATGCATATATATGCGTGGGACTTGAACCAGTTGGTGAACACTGAACATATGCCTGTCCATGTCAGACGAAATCTCTGTTGGGATTAATGATTCACGGCGATAAAAGTAAAAGATTTGTTTTTTGCAATTAATGACATGTGTCTTTCAACATCGAGCCATCAGGCGCTGATTCTGCAGTCGAATTTGAATACTTTCTCAAATTCCATCTTACCCATAATAGTGAGAGAGAAATAACTTGGAAAACCAAAACTGTTGGTACTATCGGTTACTATTATTTATTATTTTGTATGATAAAATTATAATTATTTAAGTCAGATCATGATCGATTATAAAAAATATGGTGGTTAATCAAAATGTGAATACCCTAATGAAAAGATAAGAAAACGACTATTTTGGTGCTGAGGAGTGGGGGGCGGGGGGCGGGGGGGAATAAGTATGACAATCAACATTTTGCTTGGCTGTTAAGAAAATTTAACTTTATCTTCTCGAACTGTTTTCGAGATGTTAAAAGTATTTCAATCTTTATTAACATTTACACTAGCCGATTCCATACATGCATGTCAATTTGTTGGCATTACATAATATTTTGGGAAAAATACAAAATCATAAATTATATTCCAACTGGAAAAATATTGTCACTGCATAGACTGTCATTTATATGGGAAAAAAGCATAATGGCGGGCGTATATAAAAAAACGCCAGATAATTAATTGATAATGCCAGAATAATCCTGGCTATTATCTCCTCCTGTACCTATCTCTGTAACTTTTCTCTACCGATGTATGTGCAAGACCAAGATCCAGTAGTAATAGAAAAATCAAGTCTGGAACACATAACCTACTGAGAAGAGGTTTCTGATCCCCATCTTGCCAGACGTATTAGGAAAGAAAATACTTCTGATGGGTCTCGTAGAGAATATGAAGCCATGGTGTCCCTTGGGGTGGAGGATACAATAATTGGGTACCCTTCTCCTCTCTTTCTTAAAACCTGCACTTGTTATAAAAATAACAGTTTTCTAATTAGTATTAGTTTGCTGAACATCACCAAGCCTCTTGACCAAACTATATATATTGTCCATATTTGAGTAGAGGAAAAAAGTTATGACTCAAAATGCATCAAGTTATGATGCAATGAGATTGATTAGAATCGAAGCTAATAATACCCATTGATCCATAACTTCGATCCAATTGAATTGTCGTTTTTCTTAATTTTTTTCAGAATGGTACCGACTTGGGTTCCATTGACTTTGGACTCGTACCTTGAAAGCGTCTTCGTCGGTTCGATCATCTCCAATATACAATGGAAGAACGTTAGTGGAGTTGGCAAACCCTAGAGTGTCGAGTAGATATTCCAAGGCATGACCTTTGTTCCACTCTATGGATGGCCTAATTTCCAAAACCTTTTTACCCCTTGTCATGTGAAAGCGAGGAAACTTGGTAAGTATTGACTGTATCCTCTCTTCTAATGTGCCATAATCCTGGACATTAATAAGGATCAACTTCGCTATAATTTTTTTTGACTTAGACTGAAAACAAGAATGACAAAATGAACTTTTTTGATTTACCTCTTCCTGTACATGCCGGTAATGGACAGAGATACAGAACTGGTTGTCCTCTAGCATTACACCTTGTATGTTACGGGTTCTCTCTTCCAATTCCTTTAACATCTGATACCAACCGTGTATGGGATTAGGACATGAAGAGTTCAAGAAGAAATTGATTATTATTATTACAGAAAAGTTTTAATTCCATTTGTACTGGAAAAATGAATAACAAAGAAGCAACTTCAAGGCCGAATAGCTCACAAAGTCATAATTCCCAACCAAAAAAGCTTGTTAAATGGCGTATTTGCAACTGCGCCACCTTTCTTTTGCATTTTTGAGAATATATATAGGGGTTGAAGGATTGATGCTAGAATATCAAGTAAACCTTTCATACACTACGGACAAAAGGTCAAATACCTTTTTAATTGCAGGCAGAAAATCCTGAGCAGGTTGGAAGATGGTAAACTCATTGCCCTGCAAGATTTTAAGCGACAGTGTTAACATACTAGAAAATAAATTAATGTCTAGATTTTATACGAAAAATTGGAACGCATTGGATAGCTGAAATTTCAGTTTCTCTTCGATGAATGTACTCGAATCAAACCAACCATCAATTAGTTTTTACAGATGATTTCAGGCATAGTAACCTTGGTATCAAGGGCTTTGTTTTGGTACTTGCCATCATAAGACTTCAGTTGCAGCGGTGGTCCCATTATATCCATCCCATGGGAGCCAGCATAATATACTTCATCTAGTTTAACAAATTCATACACCTGAAAATACAGTATACATGAAAAGAGAGGGACGTTTTCATATTTGAGTCATGAAGGGGGGCAAATGACTCCTTTCGCAAATGGCGATACATAGAACTAGACAATGAACATATTCGCTTTACCTTGTCTCGGCTCCTGCCACTTATTATAGCTGTCGGAAAGTGTCTAGCAACTTCACGAACAGCCAAACGCATCTACATATTTTTTCAAAGTGTGATCAACAACATGGGAACTTATATTAGACAAATACTTTTATCACGATCCTCTCTAACAATTTAAGTTTTTAGAGGACGGTGGTCTAGCAAGTAGTATATTTACTTCCTAAGCGGCTGGTGGGGGTATGGTAGCCTTTTAAAAATGACAGCATAGATGGGGTGCAGGTCAAACTTTGTAATATGTGCAGGGACATTAAAAAGATGAGATTCTAATTAATTACCTGAGTGGACATGAAAGCACGGTCAGGATCATTTACAATTGGTGAGAGAGTGCCATCATAATCTAGAAACACAACGATTCGCTTCCCTTTAACATCACTTATCATTTCTTTGAATGAGCCAAGTGCACAAGGATGTTCATTCTGAAAAAAAAAACAAATTAAGTTAATTGAGCTTAATAATGTTTATTAAACTCAAAACTAAATTCAAAGATTTCCGATTCTTTTTTTTTTCTTCATTTTCCCAATTACCTTGAGATAGGATGCATACTGTGTGTGCGTGAGGGGCATATGTGTGAATGACATGCATGTAAAAGAAGTTACAAACCATATAATCTTGTACTATAAAATTATCAAAACTCACCAACCAAGTATTATAATTTGCACTAGCAGCATTGAGATCAAGGTAATGACCACACAGGTTTGCAGATGTGTGATCACCATTGCTCTTATCATGTCTTGCCTTCGAGATGGACTCAATATCGTGCGTCTTGGCAAGCCATCTCTGAAAACCCATTGCCTGGTAGAGCTTAGAAATTCTTTCCCTAATCATCTATCAGAAATCAACAAACAAAAAATATAAGCTCTCCTTTCTCTCTCCCCTTTTTTTTATTTGGCTAATGAAATCGAAAATAAGATAAGTCCACACAATTTCACTGATGGGATGAGAAGGGATAAACTTTCGAATATCCAATGAATAATGATAAACTCCATTAATGATCCTTCCATGGCATTCAGAATCTTGGGATAAAATCAATTTTCCTAAAATACACTATATATTTAGAGTCTATGGAGGAGATAGAGAGAGAAAATACATTGCTTCAATGTTTTGCATAGGAGCTGAAGTCCACAAAACAGCAATTCTTGTGTGACTTGATCACCTGCAATAAAATCAGAGTTGTTTAGAACTTTGGCAAAAAAACATATGTAAGCGAAGACGCAAACAAGAATATTAGATGTCAACATCACTACTCAGCAAAACACCTATGGCACACAGCCCACACTACCGATAAAGTGGGTTTGTCAAAACTTTAATACGTATTGTAAAACAAGTGGGTAAGGCAAAAGAAAGAGCTTGAAACAATGAATCCTTCGTGATACTCCCGTCAGAACATCACTAATTAAGTGGCAGCCGAGATACTTTTCTTTTGGCCAAGTCAACAACCTGAGTTTATTCTGAGCATTAATCTGCAAGGATGGTGAGAGCGTAAGAGCCGTTTGTTATTTGTAAGTATTTGAGGCCCTCTTTTGTCTCACATCCAGTCAGTTGCTTCATATCATCTAGGAGGTTAAAATAGCAGAAAATAACTTTTTAGTGACACTCTAGGTTTAAATTGATCAAATTTCAGCATAAAAAAATTCATGTGCTGATATTCAACTTGATCGAACGAGATCTGAAGCTGAGAAGTTTCAAATTTTGCAAAGGACAACTGTTTTTACCATAATTTATGAGTCTCTGTGTCGAGAATCACTTGCATTTGTTGCGAATCGTTGAAGACAATTACTTAGTTGATGAGTCAATGCCATAGCACGGAAGTATGAGTGCATAGAAGTTTTTGTCTCAAACATGAAACACTCAATTACCAGGAAAAAAAATAGAAGGCTTTTCTGGGCACTTCAAAATTTCACTCTCTGGTAAACTCATACATGCACAGAGGGAGAGAGATTGGGTTTATTTGTTGCTAATCCAATCAATAATATAAGCAACCGATGGCAATTCAGCATTGTCATTTTCACAGCATAGCAAAGGGATTACATTATTGTCCATGAATCTTGAAAAGCATTATGGTCCATACATTACAAGTGTGTGCACATTACAAGTGTGTGTAAATCTTTGCCTTAGATTCTCTCGGGAAGAAAATAGTTAAATTACTCAGAAATGTCAATTGCAAAACAAGATTTGATGTGCATGCAAGTACATGTAAAACAATTGAAGACAGCAAATGGACATTTAAATATCTTATAAATCAAATTCGATGACTCGACATTACGTGGTAAACATGGAAAGTTTTCAGTAGGGTTTCAATTAACTGATTTAGCTTAACTCAGATAACTTGAATTTTCCTGCACATGACTGAAGACCTTGGAACATTTCAGGAGTAAAATATTTGCATAGGCCGATTAGAAGTAGCAAGAGCATTGGGGAGTTCAGAAGTACATGCTTATTAACAGAAGAAAGGACATTTCATGATCAAGAGCAAAAAGTTGATAAAAAGAATAGTCTTTAAGATCAACGAAATATAGTTTTTAGGACATTACTATGATCATCACCACCAAAAAAGAGTGTTACATGTCAAAAGGGTTAAACTATGAAACTGAAAGGTTATTTTTCATTTTTTTTTTTGGCCTATCACAAAGTAAATCGTGCAATTTTTTTATAATTTCACCACCAATGATTGCAATTGTCTCCAAAAAACTTACGACCGACACTTATTTCTTGATATAGCACCACAAAGTAAGTTTCTGTAACTTCGACTTATGCATCTGTTAGAATAGAACATATTTAGAAATTTTCATTCCATTGGTACTTCTATCTGCGGTATTGATGTCCCTTGTGGTAATAACTAATAAAAAGCAAATATTTTGATCTTGCAGTAAAAATCGAATGCCATTTAGACCAAAACCATGTTTTCAACAAAAAGACGGAAAATAAATAGCGTATTACTTCTTGTAATTAATGTGATAAGAATAGAAAGAATCGTCCAAAAAGTGACCCAAAATAAGAAGTCGGTAGCGATTTTCCTTGTAGTAAATTCAATCAACCTATGACAGAAAAATGCCATGGATATGAAAGCATCACTTTAACAAATGATTAATTAATTTATGGAATAAGTAGGAATGATTCATGTGATGTAAACTGATTTGGTAAAAACAATGGCGGTTACAAACAATAAAACAAATTTCTCCGGATTGTGTCCAGTACCTGAAGAAAAAGAAAGCCTTCACCCAAAATGGTCTCAAAACTAACGCAGGGATTGCATGATTGTAAAAGAATTGCTATCAGCTCCTCCTAGTTGACATATTAAATAAACATGTTATTTGGTCAAATAAAATTTTAAAAATGCATTTTACTGAAGTGTTCAAAATCTTAGAAATTAAAAAAATATAAGTACTGCAAAATGTTTTCTAACTACACTAACATTAATAATTCTTAACAAGATCCATGAATTTGGCATATAACCGACGAAGTTAACAGGTATGTATTTAGAGTAATTGAGTTTTAGATCATAAGCGTTACAATTTGGAAAGGGATTAACACCAACCTGGCTACGATAAACATTCAATTATACACGACCAAAAAAGAGCCATGTGTAGGTTGAAGAAACAATGAACTTTCGGCCACAAAAACTCTAGGTGGCAACATAGGGATTATTTTTGTCACTGCAAGCTCATCAGATGAACGTGCTTCCGGAGTGAAGCAAGCAAACCAAAACTTGTGTTCAAATGTAATTACAACTACATATGTTACCATGAAGAAATGGATAAACGTGACATGTATACAATAAACTATGGTATCCTACAAATTACTGAATTAAGAATGATTTTAAGGTAATAATACGTGTAAGTCTAATAATCTACCAAAAATTATTAAATTGATGTAAATAGTTGGATCAATAGAGTATGTTAAAAACGGTGGAACAAACCCACTAATCCAACTACATATATTGATTTGATATGTATAATGTGATAGATTAATTAACAACGATAACAACCTTATTATAGATTTATTTTTTGGGTATGCTAAGAAACTTTTTATAGATTACAGAATGAAAAATTGGATAGTGTGTGGCTTGACTTGTGAAACCGAAGTGTGAACAGGAGAAAACATGACGCTGGGACAAATTTTAATGTTCGACAGAAAGTGCAAACAGACAAAGATTAGGTGTCAGATTAAGGAGACGATCATCGAGAAGGTTGGACATTTGGGTATTGGAAGCACGACGAGGAGTCACTACACGCTTTGGACCGGTGAGAAAGCGACTGTTAAGTCCCCTATGCACAGACACCGAAAAAAAGACGAGGGTTCACCAGTCATATCTGGAACTGGAACTGGAATATAATCCTAAGACACAGACCATAACATTATATATGAATCATAATTCATATAAGTCCACTAATCGATACAATACTTTAGTATATATTGATACAAAAGTACAAATTAGTGAATTTATTAAACAAAGGAAAGGTAGAAATGCATCTTGATTTTCAACGAATAAGAGACTAGTTTGTCGAGAATCACGCCGTTTGTTTTGCAAAAAGCAAAAGACAGCAGTGCTGGATCCAAGTTCTTATTTTTTTTATGACAAGAATTCATGGTTTGTCCAGGACAGGCCGACTGACAGCTGGTTTATTTTATTCTCTACCCAAACTTGATATTTGCAATTTATGAGGAGGTAACCGGAAGATGTTCTATTAATTCGCAAACACTATAGAAGTGGTAAGAAAAAGAGGAGAAAATATTCATTATAACGATGATATCACGTGACAAGGTGATGTAGTATCATCAATCAATAATAATAAAACAAATAAATAGATGGATCTCACAAAAATCAATAACTAACCTGTCATGTAAGTAAATAACTCTTCACTATTCTGTCATGTAAGTTCAAGTGGGATTCATTTTTTTTATTTGGTGTTTTATTATTAATTGGTGATATCATATCATCGTTACATTCAATACTTACTCGAAAAAGAGGGAAACTACAAGCTAAAGAAGTAATTAATGAGTGTGGATACAATCTAATCAATTTGATTATTTTAAGTTTATGAAGCATTCCAATAATGTACTTTTACGATTTTCCTTTATTTTATGAAAAATTTTTGTGCTTGTTTTCAGTATTTCTAACTTGCCCAAAAAACAAAATCTAGATAAATAAAATCTTTAGAGAAAATCAGTAACCATGTATTGGAGGATTTTCTGCAAATATTTAGCTACTTGGAAAGTAAATTTTTTTTAATCTCGAGTGATAATATTGACGAAGTATAAACTTAAACATCCACATGAGGATCAGGTAATGATAGAATTATTCCTAATAAATACTCTAATCACGATATAAATGTCCTGTCTTTAATCAAATTGATAATAAAATTAATTAAGGTGTACTTAAGTTATTATATACACTCTTACCATTTGAAAAAAAATAAATAATTTTTTATCAAAATAACAAAAAAAAAACTTTGGAATCAAACCACTCGCCATCAGGGCTAGTGGATTGGTAAGGCTATGTTATGTGCATGCAACGTTGGCACCAAACCACTCGCCATCAGGACTTGTCGTGACCGTTTTTCAAGTTATAGGTCGTTTCAGCAAAAGCGACAGTACATGGGCGGCGGTACAGGCTCGGGCACTTTAACGGTTACACCAGTCTAGTCGGTCTGAAGTCTGAACACGCTTTCACATCCCCACGATTAAATCTGAACCGTCAATTCCTGGGCTTGACAGACCCTTCTCCATCAGTGAAGGATCTAAGTGGTTTGTACTTTTGTGGGCCTGTTGGGTCAAAAGTGCCCTTCTGCCCCAGTCAAAACATGGGCCCCTTATACAGACCACGTGTACGGCTCACATTCCTGATACCACACGTATCGGCCTTTCACGGGAAAGAGGAAGTAACTGGACAAGCACATCAAGTGCGAGTATAGAAAAAAAAAGCAGGAACAATTAAAACACGCGCATTAGACTCGCGTGGGAGAAGTACGGCTCTGATTTGAACGAACACCAACCGCTTCTTCGTTTGTTCCTGGACTCCTGCGCCTCATAACACGCAGCGTTTGACGCTTAAATGCTATTAGAACACAATAAAATAAGACAAATTCCGGTTAAACGTCGAACATTATCGGAGTGAGCTATCCACCGACATCGCCCGCAAAAAAGTGCATGTTTGATCTGAATTTGAAAGAACATTTCCGCGGCTCAAACTTTCGCCAATCATCGCCGTTAAGGATGATCGGTGCATGACGGCCGGAAAATTGAGAACAAAATGTATGGATGAATGTGAAAAAACAGATTTGAAAATAAGGTGCACATACTATTAATTTTTTATCTAGATTTGAGTGAGATTTCATCTCATAAATGCACATGCAGGGTGAAATCGAAACAAAATGAGGCACGCACATCATATTGGTCTCCTTGGGATTTCAGGAACACAGTGACTTCTGGAGAAAGTTTTAGAGAGAGAAACACATGTACAAATAGAGATGGGCATAGAAAAATCATGAGAAATAGAGAGAAAACTTACTGATTTCTGCTACTGCTTGGAAAATTTCAGCCCCCCTGGCCGGAGAGCTTGAAAAAATAATGAGCTCGAAAACTTTGCGAGAGAGAGAGAGAGAGAGAGAGAGAGAGAGAGAGAGAGAAGAGAAGAAGAAGAAGAAGAGAGAATGTAACGGAAGGCGGTGTATTTATAGATAGTGGAAAGGGTTTAGGAATTAGGAGGGGTTGGGAAATTTTGTCAAAATTGTCATATTCGCGATCTTCTGCACTTATTTCTCCCAGACAGAATTATGAAAATCTAGAATTAAAGCATATGCTTAATATAGCTACACAATGACCAAAACAGCCCTGCATTAAATTTATTAAGCCAACTAATTAGTCACCTAGTTGACTAGTAATCATACTTTTACTTATTATAATATCCGCACGTTCTGAATTTAAATTTTGATTACTTTTAAGTATTAAGTTATCAGTGATTTATTTCTCGTGAATATCTTAATTCTAACGTGAATGACTTACATTTGACTGGATCGAAAAAAGGAATTAATTCAGATATATGTAAACTAAATTGAACATCCTTGATCGTTAAACCCAAAAAAAAAAAAGTTTTTTATTTAATTTTTCTTTGGTTTTATCCTTTTAATGAACATGATTTTTGGGGTATTTTTTAACCATGGCACAACATTTTATATAAATTCACCTAACAATTCACATTACAAAAATCCACAACCCACAACACAAGATGACACATCTCCGACTGTTCAATTGGACTCAAATAATTATATGCTTATCATGTTCAAATTCAATAAATTGACTTAATTATAAAATACTCTTCCACCGACGCCACACTTATAGATACTCTAATTTTCGTAAATTCGGGCAAACAATGGGTGCTTCATAATAAATGAGGTCCTTGTGGAGATGAAATCAAAAATGACCTAAACTAAGGTGAATATTCGTTTGTATAATTAAAGCATGGTTTGGATAGTTTTTGTTATCAAAAATTATAAGCATCCATCGAAGCATGGTGGTATATGAATATAGTTATAAATATGCACCCTAATTATTACTAGGTAAATGATCAGACCCAATCAGTCCACGTGGCACACTACATGGGCTGATTGATCTGACGTGGAAATGAGGTAGCCCACAAATATTGTCAAATGGGTTCCCGTTCAGTGCTCCAACGGGCTTTTGCTGGCAAAAAACCAAGCATTCATAAACTAAACTCGTACGATCAAAAGTAGAGTCTCAGTGCAAGTCGAGCTCCAAATGGGATAGCAATGATTAGCTTAAAGGTTAATTGAACAGATATTCGCTAAAAAGAATAAGAGCGATGTTATTACAACCTAATTTACTAACATAATTTACTAATTTAATTTGTTGTGACATTTAAATTCATTATAGACCCCTTCAAATATTAGAATTTGGTGTTGATCTAATGATTCTTATGAAACCACATCATTATATCAGCAAATTAAGTCAAATTTTTAGGTCTAAATAGTATTACTCAAAAAAAAAAAATATCACGGACAAATAACGTTACAAAAGCGATACTAGAAGACCATTGGCAGGAAGATCGATAGAGATTCAAGATACAACCAATAACTCTAACGAGACTGCCCGAATCTAGATCTTATGACAAGGAAAATGGTAAGAAAACGAATCCATATGGCACAATGAAATAGTAACGGAAATAATGTTCTTCACACAAAAGGGCAGAGACAGAGAAGCCGAGAAGGTTTGACCTTCGCCAGGGCTGATACGAAGGCCATTAGCCCGATGATTAGGACCATAGACATTCCTTTTGCCTAAGGATAGGCCTGACTTTGCCTATTAAGAACAGCCCAATGCACTATCTGCAATGGTTTCTTTGGGAGGACCAGCCCAAACCAATGACCCAGTCCTCATGCAGGCGCGAGTCGTGACTGGCCCACCCCAATGGTAACTAAACCATGACACCCAATAAACATCCATAAATCACCCAAAAAAACCAATTCAAAAAAGCAACTGAATGATTATATTCCAATCTATAACATAATGATGCCACCAAGAAGCAAGTTTTAAACAAAAGCTGAAAATTGTCACCCATTTTAAGATTGCAAGGAGAAAGGCCATTCTGAGATGGACATAGAGATCTAAAGGTTGCAATTTACTTGCTATGGGAAAAGGAAACTGATCAAAGGATCCAGCAGGAACAGAAGTATACAGCTGTAATCTCGGAAGCCTATCCAGCAAGTGGGGAGGCATTTGCCTTTGAAGTTATAAGGAACAACAACCATGTACTACCTTCTCTTCCCAACTAACCTCAATTTGCTGCCAAAACTGGGTAGTGAAAGTTTTAGCACTGGCCCAACGTTACAAAAGTTCTAATCCAAGAACATTAATATCCATTTCGATTCAACATTTACACCAAAATGAAGATCTTCTCGAAAATAGTCAGGCCTGTATACCCAAACGTCAACTAATTGCTGTATCGTTAGCAATATCCACATTTTGCTTTAGCTGTTTCCACGCTATCTACTATTGCTGCTTCCTTGCCTATTTTGGAAAGCCTGTGGTGTCCACCTCCTTGCTTTGTTCACCATTGTCGGCTATGTCTTCCTCCTTTGGCAACGCAGCAGCACCAAATATCCCACCAACCTTAATTTCTTCGTCCTCAACCTTTCCACCATTCTGCTTTGCTGTCAACTCATTAGTTTCCAATTTTACCTGTAGAAGTTCCAAAGGTGTAGCTGCTGGGTCCAGCTCCTGGAAACCCTTTGGAGCATTTTCAGCTTCTTGACCTGTAAGGAAGTACTTTGGGACCTGATGTGAGAATCGGAACATTTCTTCTTTTGGAATTCTCCTTGCTTTATCAGGGTCCAGATCCGGATGAAATACTGTCCTGTATCCAGCAACCTTTATAAGAGGAGTAACAGAAACACCTTGTTCCTCTTGGTAGTCATCAAGCACTTCCACCATGTCATACTTGTGTATCACTTCATCTGGGGTACGCTCATTCCAATCACGGGACCAATTCCGATAGAGAGCCCACACATCCCCCTTTTGGGGATATATGTGAACAGTCCCTCGAGCACCTTTTGTCCATTTAACCCTTTGCGAGAAACAATTTAAAGACATATAAATTTCATGTTTACCAACCCTGAATTCCCCACAGGTTTTATAGAAACCAGAACCTACCCAATCTGCTGGACCAAATTCACTGTTGGTTTTTGAATTAAGCCAACTGATTCTCATCTTAAATGGTTTCCTAGATATAACGTTATGAACCATAGCATAGAAACGCGGCATGCCATCATCATCATCATATGCAGCCCAAACCTGGTTATCTTCAAAAGAACTTTCTGTCCGATCCAGGTCAAAATCATGAAAATCGGGATCTGGAACATTCATTGACACTGGTGCAAGGTCCTCTGTATTTTTACCATCAGCAGTAGCTCTATGGACACTCTTATTGGCTTGGTCTCCTGTCTTGGTAGCAAAAGACACGCCAGTCCCATTCGGATCATGTGCAGGACCTTTTAGGGAACGTTTTTCTTTTTCTTTCTTGCTCTCTTTCGCCTTCTTTTTCTCCGTCTCTGCAGCTGCATTTTCTGATCTCCATTGAGTCAACTTCTTGCAGATCTCTGTCCGAGCCTTCTCCATCAACATGTTTCGGATCTCAAACGGTGTCAACTCTCTAGTGCTGTTAGGCTTATTATTTATACCACGAAAACCGTAGACCCCATCTCCAGATACACTTCCTGTGCCAACATGACCAGTTCCCATGGCCGTTTGATATGCCAAGTTTCCATGTTCATCCAGTATGCTTCTCTTTTTCGAATGTGTCTCCCACTCTGCAGTAGCCTGTGTCTCCTGACGTTCTCTCTTCAATCTTTCATTTGCCTGCTGAACAACATGGGCTGCTTTTGCCGCAATGGAAGGTTCCATGTTACCAAAACCAGTTGTTCTAGAGAACGGACCCTGTTGGATGTTCCGGTGGTGAAAAGAATTAACACCTGCTGACCCCCCTGGTCCTGCTTTTTGAGCAGCTACAGAATTTCTTCCGGAATCAAATGGATGACTTCTAGATGTGTGATTGCTTGAATTCTGATGCACTTGGCGAGAAGCCGAATTCGATGACTTAGAAAAACTGAAAGGTGGAGCCATCTCTGATGCGAGAAAAGCCTCATGACAATTGGGGCAAAGGAGAGTATGGTTGATGTATACCTTAAGATATTCATAATGCATCTTGCATTTATTGCAAATAGTCCAAAAAGTATCGCTTCTTCCATAGGATGGAGGAGGAACTGCGGTGGGATGCGCCCGAGCACTACTGTTCTGAGTCTTTGGATTTGAACTCGCCTTGGCTTTAAAATTATGATATCCATTCGCACTAGGCGGTGCTGATGGACCCGCACTTTGTGTTGGAACCTTCTGTTGCAATCCTCTTGAGCTCCTCCTCTGGTTATATGCTAACCTCTTAGCCTTATCAGATAACAAACTCCAGGCCTCGGAAAGAAGCTTGAATGCACCATCAGCTCCAACAGATTTGTTTTTATCAGGGTGAAGCACGAGAGCCAACTTCCTGTACTGTTTCCTCACTGTTTCATCATCAGCCATGGGATTTACACCAAGAATCCCATACCAGTCCACTTCTCCACTTATTTTATTCTCTGCTGAGATATACACATCAAGTGTAGTCAACATTTGGGGGATACCCTCAAGCCCAGGATATAAAGTTTGGGCTTTCAAGGCAAATTTCTTCGCAGCAACAAAATCTTTCTCTGCTAACTTTCCCTCAGCAATTGTTTTCGCCCTGAGAGCCTCATCTCTGTTGCATTCCATAACTTCCAATGTGGCTCTCAGTGTTCACCCCCAATTGATTATGTTGGTTGGCTACGGATAACAATCAGGACACCCAATTCTAGCACAAAAGTATTGGGCGCAACAATCCACCCACTTCCTAAGGAAGGAGTCCTTTCCTTTCGGTCATCAAGTACCAGAAACCTGATGCACAGCAAAAAAGAACAAATCTAATTATAGAAAGTTCATTCAACTAGGAAATTTGCAATAAATGTATATGAGAAAATGTTATGTGCATTCTTGTGAAACCCGATAATGTAAAACAATAACAAAACATAGATGTCAAAACTTTATCACGATTAAATGAATCTTGAGCAATATTCAAATTTTGGTAAAATTATGAATTTTTCATAAAAACTTTACGATCTCTTCTAAGATTCCATTAAATCCAGTGAATTGCTATGGAAACAAGTGTCACTTAAAGTAAATGTCATTTCAACAACAATCATGTAGGACAATAAACATAATACGAGGTAGATATTTCGAAAAATCCAAATTCGCCTAACTACCACGACAAGAGTAACAGTAATCAGTCCCATCTTCCACTCCACGAATACATTCTGATATATGTACGTGGGCGCAGAGTTGTTAAGGAAGTTCAAATTCCCATACATCAAAAAGAAACCCCAATCATTTCTCTTAGAAGACATCGAATGTTATTTATCCCCATCAATTTATAAACACATGTTTCTCTTTCCTATGCCAACATCCCAAGAAACAGCTACTCTCTCTATACATGAAAAGCAGGTACTCCAATCTGCTTTTTACAACTAATTAAACCACTCGCAACGGCCAAATCCATATAGGTCTCATGCAATTCTTTTCCGGTTCTGAACATAAATTCAGAACACATGCATTGGAACAATACACCCCAACACTCCACTAGATTCCAAATATAAGTCTTTAAGAACACGAACCGAATATATATCACTATTTGTGATGAAACTTCGAATTACCACAACAAGCAACCAAATTTACAAACCACAAAGCTACAAACAATGCCCAGAAGAATCAACGAACGACCCAACTGTCGCAATTCGATGATTACCCAAAAATCAAATTCAAACAATAAAAGTCGCAATGGATCTATAACAATTGACGTAACAAAACAACTTGTAACCGTCAAATTCCAGCATCCCAATTCTCACATTCAACACTCTAAGATGAAACCCTAAATTAGTTTGAGAAAAAAAATTCTCAATGTGTAACGAATAATTATAATTAAAACACGAAATTATGAACAATTACCTGTAGGAAGATCAGGGAATTTTCAATCAATGGGTAATTGTTGTTACTGTTGACCTTCTGTCTTCTCCCCCACCAAATTGAAATGGAAAAGACCACAGGAGAAATGAGCCTTTGGTCAAAACTCAAAACCCCCCCTTACAGCCTAAGAACAACTCGCAAAACCAAATGCCCCAAAAATATCACAAAAATTGGAAAAAAGTAGGCATGGGCTTGGGATTAAATATTTTACATCCACCTTTTTGTTAACCCTAACCATGATCTTAACTATGGTTAATTTTTAACCCTAGTTAAGGGAAAGATTCCCCCTTTTCTTTTGGTCATTTGTAAAAAAAAAAATATATATATATATATATCGATGCTCTTTTTGTGGGATAAATATTCAATGTAACACTGACATCACGTTAATAATATTACGTAGTGGTGTAACCGTTTAATAAAAATTCTAAAAAATATATAAAGTGAACATCATTTTTTTACACTGAAATGATTATGTATTACATGAATAAATGATTATTGAATTTTTGGAGACTCACTTGTTTCCTTGTTTAGTTTGAATTATGTGATATTATTAACGTGATGTAACTATTACACTCAATATTTTTTCTCATTTATGTGGGATTATTCTTTTTTCTTTCCCATAATACCCTTCTATATAATTTTTTTGAAAATTTATGTACAAGGGTAAAATAGTAATTTGAATAATTCCTATTTTTCTTTCTTTTTATCTTGAGAATATGTCGTGGAAAAGAAAATAACTATTACTATTATTATTCGAATACATACTCATATAGACTAATCTAATGGTTATCCGAATATTCTCCTGAATCGTAAGTGTTATATAAAGTTTTAACCACAATTTCATGATCTATAAGAATTTATGTAATTTATCAAGTTAATTATGGTATATTATATTTAGAATTTTAAAACCTTAGAATTTGGAAAATCATACCATTTACAAGATTGTCACTAGGTCAACCAATGATAGTTTGTTTTAACCACCTTCATCAATAATCTCATCATGTCTACTCAGGCAAAACTGTTTACCTTAAAGATAATGGTCTGTGGGCAGGCCAGAATTTCCACTATAATAAGTTCTGTTAGAACATTCCCCCATGTGGTTAGGTGGATGGGGGCTCCTACGCCTTCTTGAGCTATCAAAATGACCTGTCTGGAGAGACTAATAATCTTTGAAATGACTCGATCATGTTTTGAAGTTGAACACAGCATTGTTGCAGATGCTTAACCAGTGTGCATCAATGAGCAGGTAAAGCAAACTGCCCATGCTGTGTGAACATAAATGCATCATAAAATACACGTCTGAGTTCCAAATCATAGTTTGGCCAATGGGTCATATCTGATCCTTGGTCGAGGATGAATTAATATTTTCGACATGTTATCCAAAAATGAGAGAGAGAGAAATTAACAACAATTTTTTTGATTCCAAAATTACGAAAGAGTACATAGAATCACAGATGAAGCCTTAGAAACAGGCATTTCCACAACTCTACCACCCAATCAATTCTGTTCCATTTAATCCCTCATGGCCTGAACAGTCAACTCACAGTTCTCTCAAAAACAAGAGCAAAACAAGAAACATATAAAGGAATGAACAAATAACCTCCTGCTTTGGTCATTTTCGCATCTGTAAATTCCCACCTTGATTGCCTAGATGTTGGATACACATGCTATGTCCTCTAAGTCTTGTTCAGGCTTGGGATCCGTTGGATCTACCTTATTGTGGAGAAACTTCACCACAATGCATGTGATGTTGTCGGCACTGCCACGACTAAAAGAAGCTTCCGTCAACTTCCGAGCAGCTGCTTCGGGTTCTTCTTCTGTTCGTGCAAGTGACACAGCATCCTGCTAACAATGCTAATGTATCAGCTCTTTTAAAACCTGCCTTCTCTTCTAAGACACTTATGTGGATGGATATCCCCCTCCAGTACTAAACCCTTTTATTTCTTCAATACTAGATCAGTAATCGAGCATTGGTGGGGGATCCACCTGAGTATATTTAAATTCATGAAAGGCTATCTAGCATTGAGGGAATTAAAGAGACTTAGTACTGGAGTGGAAACATTGGGTTGACCCTTTGTTTTTGAAATCAATAAATTGAGCAGGATTCTAGATGTTCAATTGAAACAGTTTTAGAAGAAAGTCAGACATTCCCATGATGACCTAAGGGCATAATGATAATCTACATAGAAGGGCATACCTCATTAGGTACAACATCCCAGAGTCCGTCGCTTGCAAGCACTAGCAATTCAAATTCTTCGTCAATTTCTTGATCCTAGAAAGTAGTAAAAACAAACCAAAATTTGTCATGCTTGAGAGCTTGAAATTGCATACAGTAACATGCATTTTGTTCACAATAGCATTCAAATGAAACAATATTAACTGGGGTCATATGGGATAATACTCTTATGATATACAAGTGAATACTGTTTTGGAACAGTTCCACAACTGCTTACGAGGGTGTGTGTTTGGATATCTAACAAAGCATCGTAACCAAAATTTCCTTCTAAAGCATTGCACTTATCTTATGTCATCATGTCATGCTGAAAGTCAAGTGGCTCACCCCATTGACAAGCAGTACTTTTTACCAAAGGGGTTAAAAGTTGGGATATCCACAAAAAGGTCCAAAACTGTAATTAGTAGGGCATATGGTATAATAACAGAATCTTGATATAAGTCAAAGACGAAAGGCAATTTTTTTTCATTCTTCCCTTTAATGACTATTATAATTACTTCGACAAAAAGTCATTTAAATTTTTAAGTTAATTTTCCTCTTTCCAAAAGAGAAGTTTCAAAGATAGGATTGATCTCTCTTTTTCAAGTCATTTACTAGTTATCAGGAAGGGAAAAAAAAAGCCTAAGGGAAAAAAAAAAGCCTTTCAAGTGCTACAGAACTATTGATTAATTGCATTGCTTGGTGCAATGTTAAAGGCTCAGGTGATGAGGATCATAAAGTAGTTTCAGATCAGGTGCAGCCACTTCCGGCCAATGATACTGGATGTCAGGCCTGAACTGGTCTTCCCCCGAGTACCCTTCAAAGTCTGGATCAAAACTTGGTAATAAAACATCTATTTGTTGTAAAGACAATCAGTCGTATATCATACCCTCAGTGAGCTTCAGCATGTATAGTTGTCTCACCAAATTTTTCATTTCCTCTTTTTTAAGAAATCATGTTTACTATTTAAATTCCAGCTTCACATTGCCCCCTTTTTGGCTTCCTCAGTTTCACATTTTTTTTTCCAGAGTTTAATTGATTTCCGGTATGTAACTTTATCATTTTCTGCCTGAATTATTTACTTCATAGGCATAGTATGAAATCTTAATGATATGTTCGGTAGTGACCAACTCTATTCTGGTTTGCTACTCCATGTGTCTGCCCTGGACCAATGAACCCTTAATGGTATTCCGCTTTATCCCCCGATGCCTAATTTAGGATGAGCTATCTTTCACAACTTCAAACATGTCCACAATCAAGACCTTTAGAGCTGAAAATTTGACATACCATCCTCCCTCTGCCAGCCTTTCATTAACATCACATTCATCAGATTACATCAACAGACAACCAGAGAAAAGGAATCATAAATGAAAAATACAATGAAACTTCACATAAAATTCATCAAGGCTAAAGAGAGCAATGACTTTAAGGATTACCTGAATCTCAGGATCTGCCACAACAAACTGCTTCAGCATGCGGTTACCAAAGGCGCGGGACATTGCTAAAACACCTCCTACTCTCCAAGTGCCTGAAAAAAACCAGTGCAATAGAAATTTTAACTTACAGATGTTCCCCATTATCATTACTCTGCTGTCTGCACATAGATCTCTTTCCTCTTTTTATTGTTCTTGTAGCTGTTCGAGACACGATTTATTCATATTCTATGAAATGTCATCACCCAACTTAGTCCATATCAATCTAGAGTGAAAAGTGGCCGATACAAACCTAATGTTGGCATTATGTGCACAAAGTGGTTTCCATAATGTTCAAACCCATTAGCCGGAGCATTTTATTACAAAGCAATGGCCCAAAGATTTACCAATACATTATTACTTCATGTTGAACATTAAACCAATTCTAGGATGCCTGAAATGAGATCAACCTGGGTGCCAATCAAGGATCCAGTTTAAAGACTATTCAGTAGTAAGACTTTGAGTCTGATGTGGGTCAGGCTCACCCCATCCTAGTGTTAAGGACTATTCAGAGAGAGGAGAAATGTTGGTAGTTTGGGCTCCATCCTCATATACCAAATTCAAGACACACAAATGATTCTTCTTAACAACAGTATAGTTCAATTAGAGAAGTTCAAACCATGACCGCACAAAAGAAAGCATATGCACATAATCACAATTTTCAAAGCTGTTTTTGTACATTTAAGTTACAACCCTAGATGTTTTTATATACACAATAATTTTATTTAACAAAAAAATAAACCTATAATTTAATTTGAAAATTACAAAATGACTCACATATGTCCTAAACTTATCCAAATAAGTTCATATCGTGTCCAATACATGAACGAATGTTATTAGTCATTTAGTTATGAGTTTATCTTAATTCTTAATTGATATGAAAACAAGTAATAAGGTCGGCATAATTAAAGATACCAAATAAATACTTAAAAACATAGATAGGTAATGTTAGTTAAAATATTAGGGTGGGCATGTGCCCCCCCCAGCCCACAGTTGGCTCTGCCATTGTCCGAATCATTTGACAAAAAAGTAACACTTGTGAGCTACGCCCTCAACATTGTCCGAATCATTTAAACCAGCCCTCAACATTAGTTGTATTATACTGTCTGCCATGAAAAGATTCTCGTTTAGGTTGAGTTCCCACATAAACAGATAATCTGATCAACAAAACCGTCATATACAAGAGGTAGTCTTACCTGCCCACATTACAACACCTCCAGCTCTTTCAATTCTCTTCCGCTCATCACATCTATTTGGTTTATGATCCTCAGAAAGAGGAATTACTGTCAAGCAGATAAGAAGAATCAACTTTAGGGATAATAGCCACGACTCTAGAATAATAAATAAATTTTTTCATTTCTTTCCGATAATGTGCTATGCCAAGAAAACATTAAAAAATAGAATTACACCTGCCACCTGCATTTTAGGCTTATCAATTGATTCGAGACTTCACACCAGGTTCGGTGTGTATGAAACATGCATAAGTGGTCTGCAATGCTATGATTCGGAAAATTATTTCATAACCAATACCTAGAACACTTACACACAAGTTTGCTTAATTTCAATCTTCTATTCGCCTATTCTATCATACCTTTGTCTTTGGAACATTAATATTCTGTATATTCCCACCTTGGAACTTTTGAATGAAACGTTTACCCTCTAGAGAGCAATAATGCCCACAAATTGAACGTCAATTTAATTGAGACAATAAATGCATTAAATTTTCCTAATGATTCAGACAATAAATGCATTATTTGCATTCCACACCGAATGATTAACCCCATCCAAAGGGGTTTATATGTTAAAGGGCTTCTCCACTCATCATCAATTGGTTGAGTTGGATGCAATAACATGTAGAGAAAGCTCGTATCCTACATCGAATGATTAAGACCACCCAAAATTGGTGTATATGCTTCAAAAACCTCTCAACTCATCGGCAACTGTTTTTTGAGTTGGATGCTCTAACGTGGTATCAAAGCTAGCCTTAAGTGGTCAGTGGGTTAGGTCTCTTACATATTGGAATTTTCCTATATGCATGGTTGTCTGTTTATCTGTTAGCCCCACGTGTAAGCCCGAGTCTATTGCCATATAATGGGAACTAGAACCCTATATTTGAGAGGTCCGAACACGAACCACAGTCTAATATGTCTATTCTGAACTCCCCAAAGACCATTGTACCGCTCCGGGCATTCCTAGAACTTTCCCTCGTAAATCACTCAAAAATGTCAAATATATCATTCTTTGACAAGTTCATCCCGCAAGGTCTTTTCAATCCTGATTAATATTCATAATGACAATGTACTAACAAAAAGTACCTTTTCCGGCCTTTGATATTACAGCCCGTGAATCTCCAACGTTGGCAACATACAGATGGTTGCTGACCAGAACTGCTGTTGAAGCAGTAGAACCGTCATCATGGAAAGTGTCCCTTTCAGACTCTAAAAAATCCCTGTCAGTCTGTTGATATGTTTCACCTGCAAGTTTACATAAGTCATCAGGTAAAATTCACAGAAAAAAGGCAAAAAAATCACGTAAAATTCTAGTTAATGTGTGGAAAAAAAATCTGACCAGGACCAGACATCCTACGAACAGGAAATTACAGAGATTACCGATAGTACAGTATATGTTGGCATCACATAAGCTGCTGCAGCAAGAATGTAATGCATAATAATGGTACATCAGAAACCCAAACTCACTTATAGCCAATTTGGTGTTAGTCAAAAATTCAGGATGCTTCATGAGATTCGCAAAGAGATTTTCCTTCAAAAACTCGGCCGCACGAGAACCACCATGCCCTGTCATCAAACATTAGAATCACCAAAACAAAGTTTTAAGCAAAAATTTGAAAATTTTTAACTCTCATCCATATAAAATATATCTGACTAGTTTTCAGCAGTACAATACTAATACTGTCAGGACAAGCCGACCTGCTTCGCTGGTTATTGTGATCATTAACCTGATAATTATCCTTTTTGAGAATCATAATTATAAAACCATGAACTTGGGAGGCAGGTGTATTGACCTTAAGATTTTGTTTGTCCTTTACCTAGGCAATTTGCAAGGTAAGTGCCATTAAATGGCCAATAACATCTCCAAAATCCTAAGTTTACTCTCATGCCCACACATCCTACCTTTGGATTACTACTATCAGATATTGGTAAAGATCAGTCTGGCAAGATTACTCTTGTTTGATCAATTATTTTTCTCAGCCAACCCAATGAGTAATAGTAAGGTATTAATTAACTCCTGCCTAATCCAATCTTGCCGTGCTTTCCTTGTTGATACCTCATACCACATCAATATAATATATTAGCCATATATCAAGTATCAAGGTAATTAATGATGTAAAAAAATCTAACCATCAAATATCCCAAACATCCAAACTGTTTTCCCTTCAATCTTGGAAGCTTTAATGTCGTAGAAATCCTCCATGCTTACTCTCTTTCCCCTAAAACTTGAATACCCGCAACTCAAAGTTCCTTCTTCACTGCCAATTAAGAAAGAGACTAAAGTAAGCGAGACTCCCAAAATAGACATGAGGAAACAAGGGAAAAGAAAAAATAAAGAAACCAAAACCATACTGCAATAGCAGCAACTATATCCACTAAATATCATATCTATCATTCAACATCACAGATTTTTTCACATCATTCCAAAACGACATATATGGCAGGTAAGTCAATACCCCTAAAGAAAAAAAATTATGTTTAGTTCAAGAAACATCACCAAAAGGGGAACAAATCAGAGATACAAGACAAAAGAGACATTTATATAATATAAGTATACAAATAGCATGTCCCAATCAGAATCGTACCTTTTCACCACTAGCTCCACATTCTAAAGAGGATTCTCAGTAAAATAAAAGGAAATGGGAAAAAAATTAGTTTTTGATAGGACACGAAACATATTGCACTAAAATAAAAGCGGAATTACATGAAAGGTGGATGGATAAGAGCAAAAACACAATGAAAGACAAAACATAAAAAGTCTATAGATCACATGAAACTCTACATCCCGATAAAATAGAAAAGAATGGGAGTCCTTTGAAATCTTTAGAAACCGAAGCCCAAAATGACGAAATAAAATGAATCCGATCTCATAATCCATCTAAACGTTCACACCGATCTTCAAAGATTCTTGCATTCCTCTCTTTCCATATAACCCAAAAAGTTGTCATGATGGCACAATTCCAAAGAGTGACACCCTTATCAAAAGAACCAAGTCCTTTTAATTCTTCCACAAACAAAGAAATGGACGATGTGGGAGGAACCCATTTCAAACTGACCAAGTTAAGCAACTTTTACCACAAAGACAAAGTAAGAGGGCAATGAAGAAATAAATGGTCAATACTTTCGTAATCACCTTTGTACATCACACACCACTGAGAAGAAGGACAAGTATTAGGCCATCTTTTTTGAAGCAAATCATTAGTATTAATCTTCCCATGTGCAACAGTCCATGTAAACACTTGCACCTTAATAGACATTTTTGCCTTTCAAATCATCATAGCAGGAATAAAAGGGGGACAAGAGAGCTCAGCAATTAGATAATCATAGAAAGATTTAGTGGAGAAAACATCCGAAGACTCAAGAACCCAACTTGTTTTATCATATAATTCTTTAAGGAAAAAAACATCATTTATAGTAGCAAGAAAAAACATCAACTCCAAAGTCTCTATCATTTGGGCTTATATGGAAACCAAAATCCCAAGAATAGGGATGAATATGATGTATGCATTTTCAGGGTATCTTTAACCAAATGGAGTGTTATTTTGGAAACAATTACGTGACCAAACGACATAAGAAAAACCCCAACCCATCGTCACCTTCACAACCTTTGTGGGAGCAGATGCATTTGAAAAAGCTATTGAACGTCATTACCAAGTGCCGCTCTTGGCCGATTGCAGTGGGTGCAAACCTCATATCACACAAATGACGTCAACAGACCCAAATCCTAGTTTTTACTATTGCAACAACCAAGATCCTTACATAGTATAGTGTATAAGCAAAACATAAGGAACTTTATTTCAATTTATCATCTTTACTTCCTTAGAAGTTCAAATTGCATGGACATACCGAACAGCATGCCAAATTGCCTATCTTTTTCAAAAAAGTATTTGATTTTGAAAAGAACAAATTTTTTTAAAGAAAACGGAAACCATGTCAGAAAATAGTCTTAGGATTTCATGAGATGATGTTACAGGGTCTATCTAAGTAACACAAGCCATAAAAGAAAATAATCATTAGTGGGCTCTGGAATAGACAAAATTAAGTATCAACACAAACTAAGCAAACCAATCTTTCTCCAATACATCTATACAAACCCTTTGTCTATCAAAGCAACACTTAGGATCCAAAGAACATCTTTAAGAACACATTCTAAAAGGAGAAAAAAGTGAAGGTCTTCACATATATGGCAGGATTCTAGAGCTCAATTTCAGTATCGTTACAGTTTACTGACAAATATACATGCTTAAAACCGAATCACCTCTTCCATCTCCCACTAGCATAGCCGCCATTATCATCCTTCTCTGGTAATGCATCAATCATGGTACCGTGATTAACAGTTTCACTTGTATCCACCATCATTTTCCTCGTCGTAAATTTGTGATTCCAAAATATCAGGCTCTGAGTTGCATGCAAACCTCTCTCGAGATTGCTAAAGAACTCCCTTCCCTTGGGAAATATCCCAATCTGGTCAGCTTGAAGGATCACGGACCTCAAGCCACTGTAGCATACCATCTAAATCGTCTACCCTTGCCTCAATGGTGGGATATTCACCCTGATGAAAAGAAACAACTTCAAATATCATCATGAAAGCCCACATCAGGTACACTCATATAGGATTGCTATACATCCATTTCTTGCCAAGAAATATACATGTATGTATTAGAGGTAACCCATGAAGAAACGGTACCATGCGAATGATTTTAAAAGGCATGTTACTGGCTATTCATCGAATGATGACTGAGTTCATAATTAGGCTTAGTTAAAACTTAAAAGAAAACCTTTGGATGACAAAAGTTACTGACAAAATCCGACTTAACTACACCTAGCATTTGATTAAGGTTCAACCCAGAATTCTTTAGTTTTTGGATCTTTAAATATTTCAAAATTCGAATTCTCCTCAAGTTGACATTCAAAAACTTAAATCTTTTCACTGACGAAAATATCTAAATCTAAACTTAAATTTCTTAATTTCTCTACGTTTTCTGAGTCTACTGATGAACAAAGCAAAAACGAGGCCATATAATTCCATAGCAAAACAGAGGAAATAAAATGAACATTAAAAATGGATCCGATCTTACTCTTATATTTGTTGACTCCGCCAACTGCAAGAACACAACTCCATATGCAGATCCATAAACATAATTAATAAAAAAATCAATCTTATTTGCTGAATTTAATTAAATATAATCTTTCGTTAGTTGCAGATCGGTCCTCGAAGATTTCCAGGGCCAGCTTCAGACGAGAGCGGATCGAACGGAAGGAAATGAACAAGAACGTATAAGAATTGAATCTGAGATACTCAGTGTATGGTAAGGATCATCTCGAATTGCTCATGATTGAGAAAGGAAAGCAGCCCTCTTTTGCATTATCTCTCTATAACTATTGAAGCTCTCACTCTCTAGAGATCGAAAAAGTCTGATATCTTAGAGAGAGAGAGAAATTCCGCAGGTGAGTATCTGAGTGAATAATATTTCTGTCAGGTGACGGAGAGAGAGAGGGAGAGGCGCTTGGCTGTTGATCGTTGAAGCTCGTCACCGAATAAAAGCGGCAACGTGGCACTTCTCATGCATTCACTTAGTGGGCCTGACCCGTGGCAAATTGTTGGGCACTCTACTAGCCCAAAAAGTAGGGATGTGGATCCATTCTTTTGCCCGTTAGGCCCGATTTGGAGCTCAATAGAAAAGCAAGTTGTCCGGCCCATTTACCCTCAAAAATTAAATAAATTTTTGAAAAAAAAAATTAACAAAAAAAAAAGGAGACTCAGGCAGGCCGGTCCCTTTTTGTAGAATTATTTGGGTTTAAGTACACTCAAAAAATTTATTTGGGGATAAATTCATTTTGATCTACATTATCTAAAATAACCTCAATAGTTATATTTAATCAAAACTTGTTTGAAAAAACTAACAACTCCTAAATTGAGAATTGTATTATTATTAACAACTCATATCTTGAAAATTGTGTTAACATTAAAATTATATTTCTATGAATATATATATATATAACCATTGTAATAGACTGACACCCTTACAACAAAATAAATAATCACAGATGATGTCACTTTATTGTAATGATTAAATTTTTAATTAAGTTTTTTATTAAACATGTTACTATTTTTGTTAAATGTGTTACTGTTTGATATTACTATTTTTTTTTGAGCGTGTTACTGTTCAGTATTACTATATATATATATATATATATATATATATATATATATATATAGAAAAATAATTTTAATGCTAGCACAATTTTCAAGTTAAAAGTTATTATATTTGAAAACATTGAAATTAATAATGATAAACAAAATTTATGGTAAGAGTAATTATGAAATATATTTCAAAAAGAATTTGAAATATTTTAAAATGTGTATTTATTGACAATTATTTGATAAAAAATATGACTTAATAGAGTATAAGTTTAAAGGTAGTACTTCAAGTTAAATAAATTCTACAAAAGGTATTCACAACCAATTATCCCAAAAAAAAAAAAAAAAAAAAAGCCTATTAGGGAAGAGTCGGATTAAAGTCCATTAAAACTCCAATAGACTAAGCCTCTGCCAATTTGAATCATACTACGTTTACTGTGGAGGACTCCTAGTTATATGGTACCCTTATGGGTTCGTGAAGAATCAAAGGCCCAAAGAAAAAAATGGAGGTGGATCTAGGAAAACTGGGCCACCCATCTATGTTAGTACAACAACCTGTATCTAATACTCTGAGTCGACTGTGTGTGTGTAGAGCATTTTCGAAACCCCTAGGACTCGTGTAGTTTAATAGAGTAGGCTAGTTCTCTTTTATTGCTTAAAAGCACAAATAGAGGCATTATTAAATGCATAACATAAATAGAGACATTTCTGAGAATTGTTCCTGAGAATAATTTTTAAATGAGTTTCAATAACTCCAAATGAAAAAAGGCTCCACCCACACAACAGAACGGATGTGACTAATTTGAACACAAAATCATCTTATTTATAAATGATTTTTTCTTGTATCTCTTATAATCCACTTATTTTGTCTTTTTTGATAAATCTCTTATTGACGAAGATGGAAGAGTCGTGATCGAGGAGAAGGAGCCTGAAGTCAGAGGCCACCCCTAACACCAATCACATAACAACCAACCAATGGATTTGTGTGTGTCTGCTCATCATCTATCTACTATTATAACTAAAAAGTTGAATTTCTTAATTTATAAAAACTCAATAGTATTTAAGATTGATTTAGTTTTTATTTATTTTAATTCAATTATACAATATTCATTCCAAATTTTATTTTGCACTCAATAACACCACCTTCTCTACATAGCACTAATGTTTAATAATTCAACCACCACACTTTCCAGACGATCCCCTTAATCCAACATCTATCTCCCTTTTCTCTCATTTTTTTTTGATTGTTTTAACTTTAAATTATGTAATTAAATAAAATATAAATAAAAATAAATTATTATATAAAATATAAATTTTATACGATCAATGTTCGATTTTTGATATTTCATAATATATTCAGACGTAAAATTATTGTTAATATTTATCTAATATCAAAGTTGAGAAATAAAATTCTCAACTTATAAAATTACAACAACAATTAAGAATGATTCAATTTCATTTATTTTGATCCAATAAAAAAATTTACATCAAATTTTGTTTTTTTTTTTGGCTAAAAGAACGAATGTCAGGCAACTTAACCAAATTTATAAATATCTTATTTTCTCCTTAATCATTTTAATTTTAATTAAAATAAAAATATATTGTATGATCAATATTCAATTTTCTACATGATATCTTTAAACACGAGTTCATTGTTAGTATTTATCTAATAAAACACACTAATTTGAATTTTGATCCAATAAATATTTTTTTAACTCATTTTTATCACATCACCCATTTAATTGTGATATTTTTCACGTATTATAATTTACACATATAGATATTTTTTAAGGTCATGTATTTTGAAAAAAAAAATTGTAGATTATTTTGTAAAATAATAAGTAGAAATTAATTTAAAATCATATAAAAAGGAAGGCAAAATTTTTTTTATTTAATATTAAAATTTTAGACAAATTAATTTGGTAGTTGCCCAACGAGTGACATATGGGCAGAAGACTGTAAAAGACATCCCAAACAAAGTCAGAGTAAGTTACGTATGTCTGTCGTTTTGACTTGGTAACCTTCCTGCGATGGATCGCTCTCTATTCGCAACAGCTGTGGTGACTTAGCCGTTGCTCAAGTGCCACCTTCCTCCGGTGCTTATTGTTACACGCAAAATATTAATATTATTTATTGATTTTAGTTGTCACAGTTATTAAATAAATAATAAATCTTAAATATTTTAATGATCGAGAATAATTTAATGTACACATAAAGAATATTAGAAGTAACCTATTTCTGAGGAGACTGTACAATGTGAATGATTTTAAATAGATGTTGGTGATAATTAGATAAATTTATTTGAAATTGTCGAATGATCTTATTAAAATTTATTATATTTTATATTATAATTTTTTTTGGTACAATTTAATTGTTTGTGTGAGGAAATATTCAATTACATTGATGATATTAAATCAATTACTGTGATTTATAATTTTTTAATTGAATACTGGTGATGCGGTGTGATTGCAGCATTGCATTGAACCGCAAAAACCGGACGGCAAAAACTGGAGGCAAGTCGCACCCGTTTGAAAAGCAACAAGTGGGACCCACAGGCACAAGAAATTCTTCGCTCATCCTTGACTGTACTCCCGTGGACTGATGTAATGATGATATCTTTTCACTGTTCACCCCCGAGCCCTTCGCTTTCTTCCCTCTCTGTAAACCAAACAAAACTTCCGTCAAATCCCATTTCTCTCTGTAAACCTAAGAAGGCTCCTCGAACTTTCGCTCCATAATCATCTTCTCTCTCTTCCGAAGCGCAACAGCACTTTGGAGAGTTTGCCGTCCTGATCCCTCTCTCTCTCTTGCAGCATAACAGAGTCCGGAAGTTTAATACAAGTTGTTTGGAATCATTTTTGAATCTCTTTGCTTAGGTATGAGTAATTTTCACTCTCGTGTTGGTGCGTAATTGTTCTTTCTATATTTTTTCGTACTTCTATTTATCATTTCTTATTCAAAATTTTCAATTTCTTAGTTTGTCCTAATTTTAGATTGAATTGATTTTATTCCTTGGAAATTGTGGTTTTTTTTTTTAAATTTCGTTTTGTTTTTATTCAGTACTTCGTATAATATTTTGAATTTTAGTGTTCTGTTTTTGATTTTTGAGCGAATTACGGACTCTGTATTGGTTAGACGGTTAAATTTGCAGTTTTTTTTCATAAATATGTCCTGTTATGTACTGAATTTTTGTGATGGAGTCTTATGTTACATGTAAGTGTGTGTCTATGAGGAGGAATTAATTGAAGATGGTCTTATTTATTCTCGTGCTGCTTTAGATTCTTAATTTTTTAAATGCTTTTCGATGCTCGTGAGGTGCTTGTCTACAGTTTTATGAATCGTTTTTGTGTTAGGAATTTACTTTAAGTGAAAATGACATAGAGATGCATTTGAAAGATCGGATTCTGAAAACTGCTTTGTGAAACATTTGCCTTAAAAGGTTCATCTTCTTCAAAAAAATTCAGATACAAGGTTTTTTGCGTTTTCATCCTCGTTTTTTTTTTTTCAGGTGTATTTTTCCAAATTTATATCTCTCAATTATTGTGAATTTCGAGAATGAGTTTGTGAAATAAGAACCCAAGCTTGCATCCAGATGTTTTATTTCTGATTTAGGAATATCGGGGTATTGTTTTGTGGTAGTATCCCATTGGCATATCTGTAACTTTGGAACCTTTAGGAAACTTCTTCTAGATGTCATTTTTTTCACCCAATTTGTGTTGTGGGACCACTTAATAGGGTTCAAATTCGTTGTTTCATCTGCTTGCCTTGCTACCATTATGTAGTTACACATGTCAATAGATTTGCCATCTAGTTATTCTGTCTGTGTCTTTCATAAGTGTTATGAATCAATTGACCTCTTTTACTATTCCTTTCACCATAAAGTTGTTGAAGTGATGGTTGAAGTTTTCATTTTCTTTTCTTTAGGGAACACAATTTCCATTAACTTGTTCAGTTGTTAGTTTATATTCCTTCAAGGTTAGTACTCTAGAGCCTATGTTGTTTTTAAGTAATGATGTGTTCCTTTGCTTTGCTTATGCCTTATATTGCATGGCCTGTGAAGGATTCATTTGCCATTTGCAGAACAAAAGATGACTTAATATTGGGCTTTTATCTAATTTCCATGGGTTGCTTTTCAGCACTCAGTGGTGCGAAATGAAGTTTTTTACATGAAGGCATTCCCTGTTTGTATTAAGAGCACAGCAGTTGATCATCTGTTTTTGGTACTGTTCATACATAAGCTAAAGTCATGAATCATCAGCAGGAGAAGTTTGTGAGGTTTGTTCTTTTAACATTTGATACCTTGAATTCTTCATGGTTATTTCTAGGATTGTTAGATAGTATCTCAAAGCAGTGCATTCTCCTTTGGAAGCAACATCTGAAGAAGAGGAGGAAATAGGCTGTTTATTACGATTAGGAAAGAGAGAAAGAAAGGAGAATTGTTGAATTCTATGAGGATTGACTGATATCCACAATTAAAGCAAAGTTTAGTTTTACTCTCACACATAACCTAGAAAAACATTGATTGAATTTGATCCTGTTACAGCAAGGTGTCATATTTTTTTTGCATCCTGCAAAGTGCTGAAGGCACTCCAGATAAGATGACTCACTAAATAATTATTACAGTTTTCAACCTACTAATGGCTAGCTTGCAGCCTGATGATGGAAGTAGGACTCTTAGAACTTAGAAGCTACTTTGCATATAAAGATTTGTGGTTAACTTACGTGGGCAATAAGTGATTTTGAAAACAAAACTCATCACCAGCACTCGGGATATTCCCGATGCTCATTAGTTGACACCATTATCACCATTGATTTCAGTATTCCTCCTGTAGTCTCAACACCATTCCCACCATTAGATCTGTTGCCATCAAATATGGACATCATTGTTGCTTCCTTTCATGCTATCTCCACTTCTTCCACTGTCATATGCTGCTATGCATGGCTGCTCACCACTATTTTTATTACTGCAACCACTTCTTTCATGACCACATCACTCTCTGTCCACTAGTACCAAGTCTACCATTACTGATAGAGTGTTGTGATGTGGAGATTATTATAACCTCATCTAACTACCATCACCATTCCCACCTGCCTGTCTCTGCTTCATCACTCTTAGATAAAAATTGAAAACTCCTGGAATACATGATTACAATCAGTTCTAAGGTCTTTAATATTTCTAGATTCTCTTTCCTCTTCACCACTGCTACTGTTACTAATACCCAGATCTGCTACTCGTTTTAAGATATGACCATTGCTGGTGTCATTTAGTTTTAAGGCATCTTTTGTGACTCCATTGACACCTTTTATGTGCCACTTCTGCATTTAATAGAACTGTACACTGATCTTTGAAATAATTATTTTTTCAGGTTTCAGGATTGGAAATCAGAGAAAAGCTCTGAGGGGCAATTCCCCACAAAAGATAGAGTATATTCAGGGAAACTCAGAACAGCAGTAAACTCAATTTCAGATAAGTTCCAAAGAGGCTTGGAATGTGGTTCTGAAACAATTGAAAGCTCAAAACAATCTCTAAAATCCTGTTCGTTCAACGGCATTCTGGCCAAAGGCTTGGGTTCTAGGAAGAAAATTCTTGATCCACAAGGACAGTTCCTTCAAAAGTGGAATAAAATATTTGTATTGTCATGTGTGTTAGCTGTCTCTTTGGATCCTTTGTTCTTTTACATTCCACTGATAGATAATGACAAGAAGTGCCTTGGGTTGGACAAAAAGTTGGAGGTCACAGCTAGTGTATTGCGTTCCTTCACTGATATCTTTTATATAATCCATATCATCTTTCAATTTCGTACTGGCTTTATTGCTCCTTCTTCGCGAGTATTTGGAAGAGGTGTTTTAGTGGAAGATGCTTGGGCAATAGCAAAGAGATACTTATCATCCTACTTTTTAATTGACATTCTAGCTGTTCTTCCACTGCCACAGGTGAGAGAAGATTTCTGCATTGCCAAAATGTCCTCACGTTGCAATTTTCCATTCCTCTCTGGACAATTCCAAATCCGTTTTCTTGTTCAGCAATTTGGGTCAGGTTTTTTAAGAAACATTTGAGCGGACTCTAATGATTGGTTCTGCATTATTATTCTAGTGTGTGCTAATTTCTGAGGCATAAACAACAAGGATGATTTTTGCCCTAGTGCATGTATGTTTTTTTTTAATTTTTTTTTTTGTGGTTATTGCATCCATATTTTATCTGTAGTTGCAACCTTTTTGGCATCTAATTGCATATTTGGTTTCTAATTATAGAATGTTATGAGGCTTCTGTTATTAATTTTTTATATTGGACATACTTGTTAATATGTTGCTATAGGAAACAATGCTTTGCATGATTTAATCCTTACCTGGGCCACTTTTCCTCTTGTAATCTTTCCAGGTGGTAATTATGATAATAATTCCTCAACTTGGGGGCTCAAGATCATTGAATACAAAGAATTTGTTGAAATTTGTTGTGTTCTTCCAATACGCACCAAGGGTTCTCCGAATATATCCTTTGTACAAAGAAGTCACTAGAACTTCGGGCATTCTTACTGAAACTGCATGGGCTGGAGCTGCATTTAATCTTTTTCTCTACATGCTTGCCAGTCATGTAAGTCTTGTAACAGGCTTCATTTTATTTTTTTTGACCAAATTATATGCCCTCCTGTAAATTTGCTTTGGGGAAGTCACTTCTAAAGGTTTAACAAGATTTTTCGTTCTATAATTTTTTGTTTTATATATATATATATCAATTTTATATGCATTATAAAATCTTTCTTGATCTTGAATTTAGCGTGTTCACTAAAAATGTTTTTCCTATTCTAGTGTTATTTTATCCGTTATCTTACAATACTCTCTTTTGGCTGCTCTTAGCTACTGGGAGCCTTTTGGTACCTGTTTTCTATTGAACGCGAAACTGCTTGCTGGCGAAAAGCTTGTGGAAGTACGGCTGAATGTGTCCGTGCTTCAGTGTATTGTGATGACAATAATGTCGGATTTAGCACATTTCTGAATAATACCTGCCCTATACAGACACCAAATGCAACACTTTTTGATTTTGGGATATTCATTGACGCTCTGCAGTCTGGTGTTGTCCAATCAATGGATTTCCCGCAGAAATTCTTCTACTGTTTCTGGTGGGGACTGCAAAATTTGAGGTATGAACATATAAGATGGTATATGTTCGTCTAATTTCTACTCGTGTTTCGAATAAAAATTGCAATGTTCTTTTCTTAATCACTGGTTTGTGTTGTACTCGAGTTGTACTTGTTTGACATTCATTGAAGCCAAGACCTAAAAAAGAATGAAAAAAGGATGATCTATTGGAACATGACCAATACCCTTTATCTTTTGATGATTGAAGTGCATGCCACGAATATCAGATGTTAGATTTACTACTGTAGTTCACATGTGCGATTGGTGTTGCATTATACATAGCATGAATGCAAAGTTGAGGAAAGTTTGGTGACACCAGTTCTTCTAGATCTTCGTTGCTGGAAGAGAAAATTTATTAATCTTTTTTTTTTTGGGTAGATAAGAAACCCAATTAGCCTTTCAACTATTTCATTTCAACAGATGGTGCAAGGAAAGCAGGGAGGAGGGAGGGAATCTTGGCTGATAAGGTTCTTATGTCACTTTTTTTTTATAGGAGGGTTTTCTTTGAAATGCCCTCCTTTCACTTGCTTCTAATCCTTTGAGACTGGATGTGTGAGCCGAAAAGACAGAAAAGTAATTATGATTCATGGCAAGTGCTATCTCTCTCTCTGGCGCTGCCCTTATATATGCATATAGATATATGAGTGTTAATACCGGTATATATAAATATGTGTGTATGTATAAGTTCGGATTATTGCTAAATATTTCCATTCTTGTTTTTGCTGGTCAAATGTTATTTATGGTTCTCTTATTTTCAATCTTAGGAGTATGGAATTTTGGTTTTAATTCTCTTGTTACTACTTTTATGTACAATTGACCTTATTCTGGTGGATAATACATTTTTATGTTTTTTCATATTGGTTCTCAAATGCACGGGCTTCATATTGTCATATGCTAAAGCTTATCTGATTTTGACCTTTTTTCACCTATGTATGACTTCTGAAGTATTATTTGGATATTCTGGTGCCATTTTGCAGTTCTCTTGGTCAAAACCTCAAAACAAGCACCTTTGTCTGGGAAATTTGCTTTGCAGTTTTTATTTCCATTTCCGGCTTGGTGTTATTTTCATTTCTCATTGGAAATATGCAGGTACTGTAAATATTCCTACATAGCAACTTTTATTTGTTCTTGTGCAAGAATGGGAGGTGGTTTTAAGATCTGTTTTAATTTGAGACACATTTACTGCAACAAGATGGTAGATTTTTGAAATAGTTCTAGATAATTGGTACTTACTACCACTTGCTGCATCTTTACAATGAGATAACTATCTTGTTGTTTAGTGTTGTAATGCTGTGGCTAAATAATAGGTGCACATGTCATGCCTCATCATATCATGGATGTACTTCTCAGCATTGAATGGATCTGTATTCTTCATAAAGGCCAAGAAAAAAGATGTTTTAAATGGACTGTAATGGAATGTTTTAAATCATGAGATCATATCTGGATTGATTTTCTTTCAAGAGTGGGTAAGATTGTGTTGGGGAGGGGTTCACTTAGTGAGATGGTCTGAATACTATAAGGCTATAATTTTTGTAGGACCAATAAAATTAGTTTTTCTTGGTAAGCTATTCGTTAGTTAATCAAATGTAAGTAAAATTGTGGTGCAACAGACATATCTGCAGTCAACAACGATAAGACTAGAGGAAATGAGAGTGAGAAGGCGAGATGCAGAACAATGGATGTCCCACCGTTTGCTTCCTGAGAGCCTGAGGGAGCGAATCAGACGTCATGAACAATATAAATGGCAGGAAACTAGAGGTGTTGATGAAGAAAATTTGATCCATAACCTTCCCAAGGACCTAAGAAGAGATATAAAGCGCCATCTCTGCTTGGCTCTGCTTATGAGAGTGAGTTCTTTTGCTTTTTCTGATTGTTTAATGTTGTGTACTGTACCCTTGCAAGCACTGTGATTTGACATTGTTGATAATCTAAGATTATCTGCCTTTTGTGCTTGGCATCTAGGCTGCAATGACTACATTTCAACCAATGTCAAGGTGCTTTGGAAAGTAATAAGAAATTTTTTTTCAATTGAGTATTTCATTCATTGTTCTGCCTCCTTTTCTTTTTTAATCCCTACTGGTTATCTCAGTGGTGATTTTGGCATCCTTTGGTTGGTATGATGAGCATCTTATTGCGTTCAAGCAATGTCTAAAAACAGTGAAGTATTGGGAGTTCCACGTAAGCTGACTAAAGGAGCTGAATTATCATGTTGTCAATTATCTTATACCAGGTCTTAGGACTGAATTTGATCGCCACAAGACGTTTAGCAGATACATTCCCCCTTCCCGTTAGGAGTAGGCTAGACCCCTCGATGTATATGCAAAATATCTCATACATTTTTATTGATTGTTTGAAGGTGCCGATGTTTGAAAAAATGGACGAACAACTGCTAGACGCAATGTGTGACCGACTCAAGCCAGTGCTCTACACCGAGGATAGTTTCATTGTGCGGGAGGGGGACCCAGTTGATCAGATGCTGTTTATAATGAGGGGAAAGCTGTTGACAGTGACCACCAATGGAGGAAGGACTGGCTTCTTTAACTCAGTTTATCTCAAAGCCGGCGACTTTTGTGGAGAAGAACTTCTTACCTGGGCTCTGGATCCTCATACGTCGTCTAACCTCCCAATTTCAACTAGGACTGTCCAAGCCCTCTCAGAAGTTGAAGCATTTGCTTTGATGGCCGACGATTTGAAGTTTGTTGCTTCTCAGTTCCGACGACTCCATAGCAAGCAGCTCCGCCACACTTTCAGGTTTTATTCACAGCAATGGAGGACATGGGCAGCTTGTTTTATTCAAGCTGCATGGCGCCGCTACTGTAGGAAGAAGCTAGAAGAGTCTCTTCGTGAAGAGGAAGATAGATTGCAAGATGCATTAGCCAAGGGTGGTGGGAGCTCCCCAAGTTTAGGTGCCACCATCTATGCCTCGCGATTTGCTGCTAATGCGCTTCGTGCTTTACGACGCAATGCTACCAAAAAAGCAAGGCTGCCGGAGAGAATATCACCGATGCTGCTTCAGAAGCCAGCAGAGCCTGATTTTACTGCTGAAGATAAATAGCTGAGTAAGTTTTCATTAATAATTTGTATTAGTTTGTTTTGTTGATTTCAATTGTCAGAGTTTATGGAGAGTATCAGGGCCTCTTGTATATTATGTTGTATACGGAAATATTATTTATATATTGTTTCAATGTTCACTGACTTGATACTTGTAATTCCCCACTGCTTTAGGCCATTCTCTGGAACTAGAATTTAGGCTTCGGAAAATGCTAATTCAATGTAGTCGTTGAATTAGAAGTGACCTCTATCTAATCTTGAAATTCATAACTAATCTAATGGTTGTATTGAATTAGGTCCCTATAACATTACTCTTTAGGCCCTAGTCGTTTTCAATAATTTTCATGTTGGTTTAATACCTTCTATTTCGAATTTTAAGTCCATTTAAAACCCGAATATATATTCATGATGACCTATTGCCAACTCTAGTACAGAGTTTGCAGGTGATTATGACCATTCAAAACTTACATGATGGTCACTCTGGAAATTCCAGTCTGAAAATAAAAAAAATGTTTTGGTCATTACTTTGGAAGCAACACACTTGACCTAGAGGAGAAAGTAAATGAACAAACACTTGCATTCCCAATCCCAATCCCAATCAACCGTCTATCATGCTAAATATGATGCCATGGTTTGAATGCCTACTGCACCTCAAAGGCAGAAATAATTGGTGTTGCAGTCTCCAAGTAACTTAGCTGTTCCCTCGCAAAAAGAGTTACATTCGATAGAGCATCGCAGATATGGTTTGATTGAAGATGCAAACTAGAGCAATTATATTTGACACTTGATTCAATTTGACATCCTTTAATGGCATGTTGTTTCCTCCTTTTTTGCCTCTAGTGGGATGATGAAGCAGAAGCAGTATCTGAATTATTTGTATCTATATATAGATGCGTGTGTGTGTGAGGGACATGATTTCTTTGGAAAACTAATGAAGAGTCAAAGCTAATAGAAGCTGGAAGTGGTCAAATACCATAGAAATCAAGCGAAGTTAGGGATTTTGGGTGTGAATTTGATGTTTTGTCCGTATGATTGAAGACGACTTTGGCGAACACAGTTTCTTTAGAATTATAGGCAAATAAAGTTAAATTTCTAGGGTTTATTTGTAGTTCTTTACCGAGAAGAAGAGGAAAGAGTGAGATTTCTCACGTAGTGGTGATGGGTGGAAGCAGCGGGCCACATGATTTTCGGCTGTGTTTGATTTTCAGATGTGTGTCTGGCTCGCGCTTGTTCGAGTAGTTGGGCATGGGATTTGTTATTGAGTCTCGAGTCATTTTCAAGGGTTATTATTCACATTCTAAACCAATGAATCTATTGATATTAGGGAACCCCATTGCAATTTCAGGTCTGTCAAGTCAGGGAAATTCAAACCCAAAGTAAAGGGGTTCAGTGTTGTTCTAGAAACAATAATATTATTATTTGGATATATTTTGTTGATACAATTTGTGGGCCTGGATTGATAGATAAACAATATGGGATGTCGATGTATTTATCCTAGTATTTAAGGACCATTAACAACCATAAAGTTCTTTTTGAAAACTTAGAGATGGGTTGGAGGGGTGAAATGTTATTTTAGAAATATTAAGGTATCCCTTAAAATATTCATCATCAAATAACAGCCAAGATATAATCCCATAATCTCTAGAGATGGGAAATCATTTTAGTTTATTAGATTTCAATTAAGCAAGCTTGCACAAATGTAAACACTCAAATGCTATGCAGCCATAAAGAGGCATTTCAAAATATACAATGAAGTGACTAGATTTATGTTTACAATAGCAAAAGAAGGGAAATTCTGCTCACAATCTCTCAGTCTGATAAGGGTTGTTGGCTTGATTTATTTTATGGATGCACTAATTGCTACCTGCATTACCTCAATCTTCAACATCCACACTGAGAGAATCTACAGAGTTACCTGACAACAATGGTAACTCCACAACATCTTTGTTCATTTCATGATTCTCAGTTGGGATCTCTTGTGGAGTTAGAAAAGGCTTTGGAGGCATTTGCAGGAGTGCAACATCTCCTTCCAGCATCTCCACCACTCTGTGCATAGAAGGACGATCAATAGGCTTCAATTGTATGCACCAGAACGCTACTATGATCATCTTCTTAACCATCTTCTTTTCTTCTTCAGTGGTAGCTCCCATATCAATGTCCTCTCCTTCGCTGTATCGATCATAAACCCACGAGGGGAAGTAAATTTGGCTCGGGTGATCAGCAATTACATTCAAATTCTTCCTTCTGCCCGCCATTTCCATCAACAACATTCCGAAACTATACACATCAGCTTTGTATGAGACACCTCCTATGTTTTTGTAGAACAATTCTGGAGCCATGTAACCCATTGTGCCTCTTGCTGCAGTCAAAGGCACAGTGCTCGCATCTGTTGAATATAGCTTTGCAAGCCCGAAGTCAGAAACTTTTGGAATGAAATTCTCATCAAGAAGAATGTTGTGGGGCTTGATGTCGAAATGTAAGATTTGCATGTTACAACCTCGATGTAAATATTCAATCCCACGAGCCACTCCGAGAGAAATCTCATACATTTTTTCACAACTCAAGGAGACAATTTTTTCTTCTTGTGGGAAAATATATTTTTCAAGAGACCCATTAGGCATGAAGTCATATATAAGAGCGCGGTTTGAACCCTCTGCACAGAAGCCAACGAGTCTCACCACATTAAAATGGTGAATCCTTCCAATGGTAGCAACCTCACTGATAAATTCTTGCCCAGTAGCTTTGGATTTGCCTATCTTCTTCACCGCAACAAGGGAGCCACTTCGAAGCTTTCCTTTAAAGACAGTACCAAAGCCTCCTTCGCCCAATTTTTCATTGAAACCATTAGTCATCTTCCTAATCTCTGAGAAACTATACCTTATGGGCATGAGGTTATTGTGTCTTTGTAGGAAGTCTTCAATGTTGTCATAGATTGATAAGTGCCGCCTTCTCCATTTATATACCACTAATGCGAGAAGAAATGAAATCCCGCAGAAAGACCTTGCTGCAATAAACCATCCTGTGCAAATTTTAATAGAAAAAATTAATGTGAATTCGGAATTTTGAAAAAGAGAAAGATACTTATGGATTACTTTTTTTTTTTTAGTGGGGGCAGAAAAAAGGGCTGTATTTATTGAATAGTCTAAACTGCGGTTGCAAGTCAGGCTTATTGAAAACACACTAATTCAAGTCACATTGTCCTTCAAGTCTAGGGCGATTTGAAAATTCGATATTGAATCACATGCCAAAATTACATTGAGGGTCTTAGCTTACCGATTGGTTTGTATACTAGAGTGAAAACATCTGTCAGAAATTCCAAAAGAGAGCAACACCAAAGATAAGATGTTAAAAAAGTTACAGGAAGAGGCTTATAAACATGAAAGAAAAGGAGAAAAGAATAGAGAGAATACTCACATTGCAACCGCTGAACCAAGCCTACATTTTCCAAACAGAGACAATGTCAGCAAACCAAAGTGAAAAATTTTAGCACTGAAAATAAAAAAACTCAAAACACTTCATACTGTGTTATTTAGGAGATTTTTAGTAAGATCATCGTGGTCGTAAGATAGATCTGACATGTTTTGTAAGTTGGTAATCTTATTCAGTTGATATTACTTGCAAGAGAATTTTGTAACACTACTACAGTCATTTGATTTCTCATTCGTAAAACCAAAATGATATTATAATTTACTGCCATGACTTTTTAGAAATACCATATATTATGACTTTGACTATGATTTTTCTATTTGCTGCTGTGATCCTATGATATCTTTTGATCCACCAATAGAAGTATTGGTCAACTTAGCGCAGTTCTTATCTTTCATGCGTAATGCAAAAAGCTAATGTGCCTTTACCTTTATCTGATTTTTTTTGGTAATTGTATTTTCCTACTTTATTCGTAAGACTTGCTTGAGAATGCTCAGGACTATAGCCTCAACTTATTACAGCCTAACTATACCCATTAAATCAAAGTTTTCAGGACAATAGTACGTATCTTTTGCAAGAGATAGCCAAGTTAATTAACCAGAAAGAAAATACTTGAATCCCTCCGTGTAAATTATGTTAGTACATGTTCTCATGTGTCTTCAGTAATTACACTCCATTTGGTACCATGAAAAAATAAAAAGGAAAGTTAAAGGAGGACTAGATAAAAATCATGTTTAGTATGAAAAAAAATAAGAAGGATGAAAATAAAAATTTTAAAAAATAAAAAAAAATATATAATAATTTTTATTTTTCATCCATCTTATCAAATACAAAAGAAAGAAAATGTATCATTCTTATTTTCTTTCCTTAAATGATAAAATGTGTATTTTTTTTACTTTTCGTCATTCTTACAAAATAGAGCATTAAGTTTTTCTATAATTTATAGTTGAAACCAGAAAAAGAAGGGGATAAAAAAAAGATGCTCAATAAAGCCCCTTCTAGGAATCCAGTTCAAACACTTCTCTTTCCTCCACTTAGTAACTACGATCAAACTTATCAAATCTAGCTTACAGCTTACAGTTACTTATTATCATGTCCCCAGCAAAATGAAAAAATAATATCAAAAGGCAGAAATAAATCATTCAATTTTCTTACAATTTTGTAATTCCTAACTTGTAGGGATGCCCAATCAACATGCGTCGGGCGGAAAATTTAGTTGCTTAGAAAGAAAGAGTATAAAGTGTATATTTTCCAGCAAATTAAATTGCAGACAAGAATTATGTTGAGAGCATCAAAGCAATCAAAGTAAAATCTTTACTCACTCACAATGGAATATGCGGGTGTCAAAAGCAAAACTTAGCTCAGCGCAGTAGTCGCAATAGATATTATTTTCTATGGAATAGCACTCGCCGCCTCTTGCTACACAATGTCCACAATAGACGCGATACCATCTAAGCTCAAACCCATATGCGAGCCCGTCATATAAGTCCGAAAAAGAAATGTTGTCTCCCGTCAGGAGCCGTGATACAACATCTTTGATGCCAAAACCGAACTGCCGATGTTGCAGGAGTCCTCCAGTTCTGAGAAATCCATTTCTCCTAATACAAAATAATTATGATTTTGCAACGGAGATGGTGAAGTAGTGTTGGAGGTGGAAGTAGTGTTTCTTTTATCACAAAAGCCAGTGTCCACATATCCACTCCTATTTACAGGATTCTGGCAGCTTATGAATACAACATCATAATTATTATATGAACCTATGAAAGAAGGAAAGAATCTCCGTGTAAAAATGGAGTTTCTGCTAAAAGAATTATATGGCAGAGAATGAAGTGAAAGAGAAGAGCAATTATCCTTGTCTAGACCGGGATCAACAAGTCGAATGGAGAAGTTGTCATAAGTGATTGCCTCCACGTAGTAGGAGTAGTTGAATTTGTAGTCGTACCCTGCATCAGGAGGACTTTTAAGTTGTAGTATAGCGCGATTGTTGTTGCAGGCAAGTTGGTAGTCGCGAAGACCACAGTGCTGGGGATCGCCTTCCAGCCGGAAAGGGTAGCGTATGTCACGGATATTCCCGCAAGACGAAGTATTGCAGTGCTGATCATGCTTATGCTGGGCTTTGCAGCACCTACTTGTTAAGCACAATACAATTAGTAGAAGAATTTTTTGGATTACAAGCAAGAAGACCCTCCTCCTCTTTCCTCCTGACACCATAACTAGAAACGCAAAGCTAAGGTGTACTTATCTCTAAATCTTCTTTGATTTGTGGCTTCATTTCATCTGTTTTAGAGCCAGAAAGGGTGAAATGCATACTTCTTTGACACCAAGATGATGTGATTCGTTTGATGATAGTGGGGCCCTCCTTTCATCCAACGGCTTACATTAAGCTAATGGACACTTTTGGTGCACACAGACACATCATTTCGGAAAGAAAAATATTATATAATTCAAAACAAACTAAAGAATTAAAATTCAAATAGATATGATCTTTTCAATAATTGAGTTTATCAAAAAAATTGATAAGATTTACTCATTCAACGGATAATATGTATTTGAATTATAATTTTTAAAATTTTATTTGAATCTTATAGTATTATTTTTTTCGAAAAGATGACACACTCGTCTCATCTTAAACAACTTGGCTTACTTTTTTGGAAAAAAATTATTTGAACTTAATTTAATAATTTAATCAGAAAATTTAATTTAATATCGTCATTGAGTTAAAAGTGAATTTTATTTAACTTTAAAATTGACAATTAATTCAATTCAATGAATTATATCCTGATTAAATTTTCTAATTCAATTCCACTTTACTTTTTCAGCAGAAAACAAATATATATATGTTTTTTTTTTCCAAAACTGGCAGGCTAAGTCGGTCATGGCTTCAAATGGCAAAGTCAAGTCTACAATGAAAAACAAGTAGATAAAAGTTTCGCCGTAACCAACACGGTTGGATGAGTAAAGGTGGCTTCAAATGTCAAAGTCAAGTCTACAATGAAAAACAAGTAGATAAAAGTTTCGCCGTAACCAACACGGTTGGATGAGTAAAGGTGCATTTACTGACTTTTGATATAATTATAATTATCGCTTGCTACTTTTGCGGATAGAATAATTAACACAAATAATACTTATTGAAAGATAAAAAAATAATAAAAATATGTTGATGTATTATTTATTGAAAGCTGATTATCTAATAACTGATTACATAATACTCAACTTTATTTATAAAAAAAATATTATAATCTAAACTTATTTAGATACAACTTATTGTTTATGTTGAATATACCTATTCAACTCTTTCAATTTGATAATGTCATTAATAAAACTATTCATAATTTATTATGACTCTTATATTAATTCCCTAACAAACTTCTGTTTATGATAATTAAAAAATTTGAGTCAAATTTTAACATAATGGAAATCAGTGATATCCGTCAAACCAATTTTTTTATTATATATTCATTGATGCAAAAAATCTGATTAAAAAAATTATAATTGTTTTTTTAACCATCGACAGGGTACAGTCTCGATCATTAAATTAATGGTTTACATTAATTTAATGCCCAAAATTTGGATGATAAGTGTAAATACTTGCTTCCATATGTTTTATAGTTCTTTGCTAGGTAGGTGTCTTCCATGAAGTGGGGCATTGTTTTATGAGTCAAAGTCAGTCAACGAAGGAACTTATTAAATCAAAATAGGGTTCTGACAAAATCAACACGATTAGATAGATATGCTCCTTTAAGGGGCCCACCTAAAATGGCAAAAAATTAGATAAGACTTTTATCGTATTTATAACACATCGGTAGATATAAATATCTCAACGGCATGTGGTATAAGATTTTATATTCATCCTATTTCAGTTTAATTGTATATTATTTTTGGTCTTAAATTATAATTTTATCTTTTCTCTTGTTTATTTGTCACAAATATTATCTATATAATACCTACTTAAATGTAAAAAAACATTTAGGTCATGAGGGCATTCATATGGGGCATTATACATGAGGGCATTTAAATCTTTTTACTCTATTATACCTCTATGAAATTTATACTGAGAATATTATATCACTGGATAGATGGTATTGCTTAGCACCGTATACAAGACATAAGAGTTACTGGTCACACCGGGTCAATACTATGACCCGAAAATTAATGTCGAGTAAAAAGTGTCAAACAAACAGAGTATAAGGTAGGCTCCACGTACTATTTTTCTTATACCAACCCTTTATATCACTCTTACACTTCAAACAAACAGGCCTCGAGTATCAAAAAAAAAGATATAGATACGTCATATGGGAATAAATAAATAATGTCATTGCCTTAAATTGTTGATCTACTCCACAAGAGAAAACTCAAAATAATTCCAAGTCCTCGCTATTTTTACGTATAAATTTTATTTTGTCAGAAAATAACATAAATAGATATCCCATTCAATTTTTTTTATGTACACTTATTGTGATTGTCTGAAAGATAGAAAAAAAAGTCTGGTAAAAGTTTCGTCAAAACTAATAAGATTAGATATTTCATATATAGTTTTCTATATTACACTTAGGATAGGGGTCTCAAAGAAGAAAAATTTGTTCAATAAGAGTTTCCTCGAAACTAACAAGGCTAGAGTTTCGTTGAATCTAATAATAAGACTGGATATTTCTTATAATTATTTGCCATATACTTGATGTAAGTGTCCAAAGCAAAGAAAAGAAAATTGTCTAACAAGAATTCCCTCCAAACTAACCAAAAACTTCATATAATTTCCCTGGCCGTGCCAGTAAAAGAGAGCACGCCCTATGGGTAAAATGATTGTTATATGAAATGCCGTAATTGATTGGTCTGCAGTTGTGGACCAAAAAAGTGTAAGTCAGTCTACAAAGAAAAGTAAGTAGATTAAAGTCGTCGTAACGAACACGGTTAGATGAGGAAAGGTGCATGTACTGACTTTTCTTTGCTATCGGATTTTGTCAGTCAAATTAACTGATATAATTATAAATATAATTGCATGTTAATGGGAATCAGTGACATCCATCGATCCAATTTTTTATATATATATATTCATTGATGCAAAAAATAAGATTAACAAAAATATTATTGTGCTTTTTGACCATTGAGATGGTACAGTCCCAATCATTAAATTAATGGTTTACATTAATTTAATACCCAATATTTGGATGATAACGGTAAATAATTGTTGCCATATGTTATATGGTTCTTTGTAAGAGTGTAGATTGGACGGGTTGAGAGATCAATCTTAACTCAACTCTAGATATATAATTTTTAACTCTAATTTTAATCCTAACACTACCTCAACTCAAGGTACTCAATTTGAGTATTGCCCAAGTTTAATTCGGACGAGTTCAGGTTGAATTCGGATTACTTAATTCGGGCTGATTTCGGGTTAAAAATTAGGTTAACTTGAGTTATTTAATTCGGGTTGATTTTTTGAAATATAGATCTAATTTTTTTCAAGTGATTTGAGATGAAGGACGATATGCAGATGAAAAGAGAGGAAATGAGAAAAGGGGGAATAACGAATGAAACAGAAAGTCTGTGACGACTCAAACGAGTGACGATTGAGAAAATGAGACTGAGAGAGGGAGGAGTGACAAGCGAGAGAGATCTGAGAGTAATGGAGACGCAGCGATGAAGACTTGAATTAAAGTAAAAGTCTAGATTCTAAAGAGTGAAAATAAATATTAACTTTAATTAAATATATTTATATATTTGGATTCAACTCGATTTTAATATTTTGGTTCAATCTGAGACTTGTTTAAATTCAATTCGAATCGAAATTTTTTTGTCAAAACATAAAATAGATAAGACTTTTACCGTATCTGTAACATTGTTATACATAGATACCTCATACAAGAATAAATAATAATGTAATAGGGTTTTTTTTTCCAGGGCTACTAAATTTTGTAAATTGGACTTGATAAATTTTGAATAGTACCATGAAAAATTTTGTTTTGAAATTTTACCTTAATACCATCTATTAGAAGTTTTTTTTACTTTTTTTTTTTGTAATTGTTAGTATAAGGTACCATTTTATAACCTTTTAAAGTATTTTTGTGCTTTTTAATTAATTTTTAAGTTGTAGTTGTATTGTATTTTTTGTTTCTTGCCCTTGCATGAGTTTGCTCTATTCTTCCAAGCTTAATCCTATGTTTAGTAGTACATATATCCATAGATATAACCATATTCTTTATATTCTAAGATGGATATAGCTCACTTTTCTATTACCACTTTCATTTAAATTAAATATCTATAAGGAAAGGAGAGGCCAAGCAGCGGTCCACACCTTGGAGACAGGTTGGTAGTTCCTTGGAAAATGGCCATCTCCAGCATTCACTTCTTCTTTCTAGTAGTAGTCCTTGCCGGAAGTTGTAGTGCCGGCCAAGATTATGAGTGCAAGGTGACAAAGTGCGGCGAATCCGGGCCAGACATCCGGTTCCCCTTCCGGATAAAAGACCGTCAGCCAGCTCACTGTGGCTATGGCCCTGCCTTTGACCTCTCGTGCACACAAAACAATGATACCGTGTTTGATTATGACCTCCAATTTCCAGTGAGAGCATCGACCAAGAGAATTCTGCTTCCATTATCACTCAAGGTTTTGGTCACGGATATCCACTATGAATCTCAGTGGATGAGTATCAATGTCGTGAATGCAAGTTGTCTCCCACGGTGGCTTCCAATTCCAACCCTGTATAATAATAGTTCATCATCTGCCGGCTCTCCATTCAAGTTTAACCAGGTCGATGATCCCGAATGTGGCTATATGCTCTTCAGTTGTCCCTCAAACAAAAATCTCTCACCATACCGTATAGTTCAGGTCACCTGCCTTAGTGGTCCTGGTCACCAAGTGTATGCCGTTCCTACATTTGGTTGGTACACGAACATCGATGAATCTGTACCGGACCTAACATCCTGCACCAAGATGTATAACATTTCATACGTTCCAAAAAAAATACTTTTGGGGGATGAATCACACCCTACTCAATTTTACACGCGATGTGGTTCACGCCTTTCTGGTCTGGGATGGTCCCCACCTTCTTGTGGATATTGTGAAGCAGAAAATAAGTACTGCCGATTGAAGAAAAACAGCAACCCCCAACCTCAAACTGAATGCGTCGACATTCCTATAACTCAACCCAACTCAGGTACTCCTAACTAGTTTTTCTGAGTATTCGTATTCAATCATGTCCCTTACAACATATATA